ATTTTGAAATCTTAATAATTCCTCGTCCGTTGCCCTCCTTTTCAATGCCTTATAAAGTTTATGTATCCAAGAATTAATATGAAAAGTAAAAACTACCTCTACTAGTTTCATTGGCGTATTATTATATTATACTAAATTAGAATATCTTTATTCATCATTTGTAATTTGAAATGCCTGTTCAAAGTTGATTTGAAACATTTTGTTAATGTCTTTTGACTTCATATTCACGTAGAAAAAAGAAGATGGAGCAAAATTAACGGCTTGATGACGCATATCTAATAATTGCTGTTTGTCAACAATGGCGCTATTTTCTTCAATAAGACTCATTAGCTCACTGGCATTTTCCAACCTAAACATATATAATGAACTTGCATTTAAACGAATGATAGGCGCTAAAACATTGTATTTTTGTGTTGAACAAATCACACTTACTGCGTCGTGCCTGCCTCTTGTAAATAACCCACGTAATAATTTACTATATCTAACAAATTTAGGGTCGTCAGCGTGGTCATCTATAACGATTAATACTGAATGTAGTTTTTTTTTTTTTATTATCTTTTTAGATTTCATATAACTAATTATTTTCTTTTGTCTTTCAATTACATTTTCTAAATCACTTGGATTATAATTATCAAAACAGATTTGTTCTTTCTCATCATCCACGTGCAATTCATCCCTGATGCATTTTTAACTTCTGTAAATGTAGGGTGGTCGTTATGGACGCTGGGTGAAAATATAGATATTCTTGCAAATGAACTTCTATAAGCATTCAATATTAATTGTTGAATAAGGGCAGTCTTACCGCCTGTCGAAGAAGCAACTATAATACTTCTGAAGGGTAATTTTTGCGCGTGCTCATATTTAGATTGTTTGAATTCATATTCAGTTATGTTTATTGGTTGTATTATTGGAGCATCGGTCATAGTTGATATTAAAGATATATAGAAAATTATATTTAGAAATTATCTTGTAAGTAATATTAAATGGAACATCTTTTCTATGATATGCTGGTTGCGAATATCATAAAAATGGAACAGGCTTTCCATTGCTTCAATCAATGAGCATTGAAGATAATTAGTTTGTGTCTTGCTTGCGTGTTGCAGTGAAATCCCCAGTGCTGAGCCCCGAATATTCTATCATGCATGAAAATAGTAAGATTAAATATTTTTTTATCGTATTATTTATCCGAATAGGAGTTGTTCAAATTATATTAATCTAATAGATGAAGTAGAGGGTATAGAACAAGTTGTTGTAACCGATAATAAAATTAAGAAATGTTGTTTTTATTCGTTAGAATTAATTAAGCTAGGAATTCAATATCAAAAATAAAAATGTAAATATCCATATAAATGCCAAGAAAGAAAAGCAAAAAGAATAAGACAGGTTTAAGTGTTTCTTCAACAGATGAAGATAGCGGAGAAATTGTTAAAGAAACATCAGTTATTGAGTTTGCTTGTCCAATGTGTAAAAAAATTGTAGAGATGAAGAATGAATTAGAAATACAAAAGTAAGGAAATTGTAAATGTTCATGTATCCCAACAAGTAAAAATGAATGATAATGAATATTGATAAAACTAAAGACAGTATCAGCTTAGAAACTGATGTCCATAATATAATTTTTAAATTTGGTCGGCAGGCAACACCATCCGATAATAATGAAAACGAAACGCAGGAAACTGTTAAACAAATGATGAAAATTAGTTTTTAAAGAGTAGATATAACATAATTGCGCTCTAAATATATATATATATATTTAAATAAATAGCTATATAAGTACATATATAGTAATGTCTGAAAATGAAAACTATACTATTAATGATTTAATGAAGAAGATAACATTATTCGGAAAATATTAAAACTTTAAATGATATGATTAAACCCATTGGTGAAAAACTTAAACCAGTTGAACGCGAACAACAAAACACTGAAGAGAAGGAGAAAATCGAAAAGATATTTCAAGCAAAATCTATAGGAAGACCATCGGGCGACTACCCTACAAAGCAAATGAAAGACTGTGAAATGTTGACTAGTAATAAAATCAAACAACCAAAGCAACAAACATCAGAGTTTTATAAGATTACAAAAAATGATGATTGAGTATATGTATTATTTGAATAATTAATATCTAAGTAATTCTAATAATATGAATTTATTTGAATTATTTAGCAAGAAGACCTATATAAAATACCTAGTGGTTTGATATCGTGGTGTCTTACACAACAGGCAAATACGGCCAGTCTTTGCAGGATTTAGCGGGAAACTGTTGGTATTACAGATTTCTGTAACATGTGTTTCGGGTTTCTGTAATATGTATTTCGGGTTTCTGTGATATGTCTTTCGGGTTGCTGTAGTTTGGCCATTGGAGGGACAAACGCAATTCAACCATATAAAGCATTTGTTAAAAAAACCGAGATATGTTTGAAGCGATTGATTTGAATTTATTAAGTAAAGAAAAATTAAACGAGGTCTTAAATGAATTTAGAATGACTAAATATCATGTATGGTATTACTACAACATTAAATATAAAGTATGTCTATTGTTGTATCTAAAAAATAGGAAAAGACAATATCAAATACATAGATAAAGATGATATACATAAATATGTAGATTACATATTTGAAGACTTGTTACCTGACCATTATTTTAACCCATAATTCTCAACCATACTATAATTATAACATGTAAAATATTATGTGTTATAATTATATTCCAATATTTCAGTCTATTGCTTGTAAAAAAGAATTTAAAGAAATAAACACTATATATAGTATAGTGGAAATGGTTGAATTTACAGAGAAAGAGCAAGAAGAAATTAATAATAAATTCTTAGATATGTTTTAGTAAATGACATTAAACAAGAACTCAATAATAAATGTGATGCTTGTAAATGTAAAAACTGTTTAATTCATAACAGATATAGAGACATTGGACACATAAATTTACCAAATAATTTACTAAATCATATTTACAAATTGACTTATAAATGTATTTTCTGTCAAAGAAGAGAAGAACCAATTCGTGAGATTGAATATGTACAAAATCATAATGTCGAATTCTTGAACAATGCAAATATAAAAAACTGGCTGTTTGTTATACAATGTAAATTTCCAGATAAAAGTAGTTTTCCTAAAATGTCTAAACGAAGATATAATTTAATGAACGTATTTATGTTTTTTTATTTACAGTATTATAATGGACAATCAACAACAGAGTTCAACATCAAAGAATTATTTAGAAAGGCTGGCTTCAGTCCAGTCAAAAATTATCAAGAACTATATGCCATTACAAAAAAATTAAACACTAATGCAAAATGAAATGCAGCCCCGATTTTTAAATGTTTAAAACCATGCTATAATAATAACATGTAATATATTGTATGTTATAATTATATTTCAAATTTCATTTCTTGGAAAAAGTATTTAAAGAAATACAAACTATATATATCAAAGTAAATATGGGATGGACTTTTAACATCAAGAGAAACTAAGAAGTGTGGATGTGTGGAAAACACACGTTCATGATGATTATCCGACAAGTGATACAAGTTTAAAATTATGCAAGGAATGTTAAACTAAAAAGGTAGAAGGAGAGAAAAAAAGGGAAGAAGAAAAAACCAACATATACAATACGTTTATTCAGGCAATAAATATTATAGAAACTAAATTAGCTCCGCGAAAAGAAGTATATCCAATTATGTCTACCTATCGTTTTCGGTTTAAGCGTTCAACATTCTCAGCATTCGACTATCAGTTATTGAATCATATATTTAAATACCAAAAATCAGGAATCGATATTACATAAATATTAGTGCTGTGCAATTATTTTACGAGCATGAGCTTGATACATATTATTACTTGAATATAAGATAGATTAAAACCATACTATGATTATAACATTTATACCCTTATATGTTATAATTATAATAAAAGTATAGCGTTTTATATATGGAAGATAAAATCCTACAAGGAACACCACGCCTATTCAAATATATGTTGAAGCTGATGAAACGAAGGAGGAGAGTGATGTTGTTGCTGTTCCATTTTTTGTCCGAGAAATGGACAACTCGTTTTTAGACAGTTCGATTTTTTTTGATGACACATATTTTTTGCAATATATTTTGAAAACAAATATTTTTTTTGAAATGGATGAGGTGAGGAAATTGAGGAAATGCCATTTTGAAGGGTAGTTGGTGAAATGAATGAGGCGAGGAGGAACGAGAAAAGATGGCAAACAAATGGAAAAATGATGAGAAAAAAACGGATGAGATGGACAGAAAGGAATGTAGAAAAATGATGAAAACGAATAAGGGTAGAAGATGGAAGATGAAAAAAATGTAGGGTGGGGGCTAGACTTATGAAGCAATTTATTGCTAGGCGTGGCCCTCGACTACTCTTTCACCCAGTGGGGCATTTCTACTCCGTTTGGAGGGGGCAAGTCCCTTTTGGAATCAACCCCAAAAAACTGGCAATCCACTGGGGTTTGGGCTGGCGTTTGCAAATTGCTCTCAGGTGGATAGAATCAGCTTAGGAGGGTAAGGACTCTCTCTAGCTTGCCTTTCGTCGACGGCCTCTTTCCGCGACATGCGATGTGGGTTTGTTTCAAAATAGGGGAACCCCGAAAATGGCTAGTTTGTTTTTTGGTTCTGTTTCAAACCACGCCAAAAAGGACATCCTCAAAACAAGACACACCCATGTGGCCACGGGTAAAGGGCCCCTTTGCAATCTGAGCTATCGTGGGTGTTTTTGCGCACATTTGGTTGCTTTGGTTCGACTCGTTTCTGAAAAGCTGCGATCAATGTTGACATGTTGACTCTTGAAGGGCTTTGGGGCTCATTGATCGGCACTGTCGATCGGGGATCCAGGCTTCTTTGCATCCTTGACTCTTGACACTTTTCAACCATTATCAAGAACGGAGTGGTTGGCTTGGCTGAATGCTGCTGAGTTGGCTTGGACGCCATTCTGCCGCAACGCAGCCTGATGTTTGCCTGCCTTGCAACTGCAGAAGCTTGCGGCTCTTGGAATAATTCAATCGCTCGTACCGTCAATCGGAACATGCCCATGCCGGCCATTCCGAATGTGGGAGATGAACCCGCGGGGATGCCCAGATGTACGGACTTCTTTTCCAAGTGAGCGGTGTTTTTCGCCCGCAACCCAAAGTAGCAGGGAAAGGGACATGATTCTTGAACATGTGTGCAGTGCCACACGCACGGAAGCATGCGCCACGCTTTGGAGAAGGGATTTCTTTCGCGGAAGGTTTGCCGAAGCTTTGGGATTTGACATGAACTGTGTCAGTTTGAGTGCATGGAAAAGAACGGGGAGACGATTACAGTAGAAGCAGAAAAGTGTTGCTGCACGCAAGAAGCACTTGCTAGAAGCAATAGCAAGGCAAGAGAACGAAAACAGCGGCCAGATTTCGCGGAAGGTTTACGGAAGGTTCGCGGAAGTCGCGGGGAAGGGTGGCCCCGTGTCTACAGGCAAGTGCCCACGTAGCACCGGTAGCCCAAATGGTGCCAAAGCCTACACACGCTGCACTACCATTAGCGGAACACTACTTCCTTACTTTCTTACACTGACTTTGTTTTTGCGCCACGAGTCGCGAAACGTCCATTTGCTTCATATCATTGGCCCCTGTTGGTTTTGAAGGCAATCTATATCACTGTTGGACATTCCTTTATTTAGTCCAAGGGGCTCAAGCAAATGAAGCACATCTTGTAAAACATGTGCCACGGAAGGTTTGCGGAAACAAACGATGAACACCATGTGCTGCGGAAGTCCGCGAAAGGGACCTCTTGACCCGCAGCAAGGGTCCAGCTTGAATCCTCCCTATCATGTTTAAGGACCGTACAAAGGCTGGGAAAATGTTCGCTCCGCAAGGCTTTGGCTTCTCATTGACCAAAATTTGACTTGGGATTCTCGTGAGCAATACACTTCCGTGGCGCGCTCGGGGGCTCGGCGCACTTTTTGCACGGGGTCAACGTCCAACTGAAGCTTTGCGGACTCGGTCCTCGAGGTGAGAGACTTCCTTTTTCAATAGGTTGCAATTGAGGAACCCCTTACTTTGAAAAACGCGACCTGGTTGTCATTGGCCGGACAAAAGCCCGTAATCGCAGTGAACATCCCAATCCCCACTAACATAGACTAAAATGGTCGGTGCATCTACCCCAAAATGGTAATATTGGCTTTGACCCACAGCCATTTGGACGTGGAGCCAACTGGAAAGGCTAACCCGAAGCTCGCTGGAAGTGAAAGGACTCTGCGGTTTCCTGAAACTACTTTGACTGGCAACCCAACAATTTGCATACATTTCACAAAAAGCAGAGCCCTAAGTAGGATGGTTCTGGCTTAGCCAAGACAGTATTCTTCAAGTGACAATTTCTCTCTAGCCGGAGATACACGCGTGAAGAGATGCGTATGCGCACCAGGGGCATCGTAGAATGACTGCATTTTTGCATTTGATGTTTGAAATTAATCCCTCACAAAGTCGTGGTCTAACAAGAAGAGAGACTAAACAGGGCTCCTTAAAAGATACATTTTGCCCTTTTGAAACATGGCTTTTTCCAGCAAAATAAAGGGACATCTCCATTTACAAGGCAATGTTCAGGCGTACAATGTAAGGATCCCTGGTAAACCGTGAATTTGCAGAGCGTCAGATATTGCCCTTGGATAGGCTTTTTGTTGTTCACGCGGCTGACTGCATCAGTCACCAGACGGTTTATGGCAAGCAGTGCCCAAGGAATCCCGCTTCCAAAGGACCAGATTGGAAATCGTCTTCTTGGCAAATGAACCCCTTAGCTTCTGGTTATGCGTTTGCAGGAGTTGAACCATAACGTGTTCTCGTGTTCCAAATGTGCTGTTGTTTCATTAGTATGCTACATCACATTTTAAACACTTTGTTCTTTTTATAGGCATTTCCGCGATTATGTTCGTAATCAGCTTCAATTATGGAATGCCAAGTTCATTGTGTAGCAGCCCCCCTTAAGCAAAGGAAAGAACAAGAACAAACAAAAGTTGTGTGGCAGCCCCCCTTACGAAAACGAAAGAACAGGAACAAAAAACAAAAGAGCAGCAAACCCTTGGATTGTTCTCCCGTCAAAAATAGGTACCCAAAATGGATCCGGCAAATGGAAACATGGACTAAAACCTGCGCTCCCCTGTTGGCTTAATTTTGACCCATACCCACATGGCTCTGTTCAAGAGGATTGTACTTCAACCGCGCCAGCCCTTTATCAGCCCCAAAGCTCGCCTGTGGAGTGCCTCATTCACAGCATATCGCTAGACAGTTTGGGTGGGCTGAGCGGCCACTAACCATCACCCGATTGAAAAGTATGCGCTGAGTGGTCTCAAAGTAACTCTGGCAACCAGTAGTTGGTTTTGATTGGTGGTGGGGTTTGAACCTGAGTTCTTGTAGAGGGTCAATGGGAAACTGCCCTCTCCAAACCACCAGTCCTTATGGACCCGTAGGGGGGCGGTTTGGGGGGGGGGGGGGGCTATCTTCGGAGAAGCCCAGGACAAGCCAAGAAGAAGCCCTTAATACGGCTTATTCAGGGGTTAATGAAGGATAGCACCCCCTCCCCATAGCCCTCCTTGGAGGTCCATGGAATCCAAGTATAAGAGGAATCCAGGCGTGTGTGTCTCGCTTTGCGTGGCCGTTTTTGAGTTGTTTTAAAAGAAAACCAACAGGAAAGCAGCCGTTTTGGGGCGTGTTTAACCTCAAAGACGAACCCACGGGGCAGATTGGTGGGACGCTGACTTTGAGGCCACGGCAATGGACGTCCTCCCACCCATGCGTATCAGGCCGGCTCGGCACGGGCTCCGGCTCGGCACGGGTGGCCTCGGCCGAATCGCCGGCTCCCCCTCAAAAACAAAAGCGCCATCCTCAATGACGAAGGTCCTGGGATTTTGGACTTTTTGGGAAGATGGGGGGCACATATCAGTAGATAAATTGGAAGATTTGTCTAGACTTGTTTGGGCCAATCCACTCAAGTGAGTCATCGGGATGGATTTGGCCAAGCCTTCATTCTGAACAGCCCAGTATTGACCTGCTGCGGCAAGGGTCCTGGAAAAAATCCCTAAAAAACACTCGTACAGGCAGACGGAATGCTTAGTCGCTTGGCTCGTTCAATCAAATTCATCCTGCTTTCATGTCAAGGATTGCTTGGGGGGTTTACAAATTTGTTCCGGAAGTTAAAGCAATTCAACTCACCATGCTTTGTGAGTCCTGACGATGGTATGATGTCGCGTATTAACTGAAAACACACATTGTAAAGATGGATAACTATCGAACATGAAGATGATGAAGATGTAATGTATTAAAGAGACTTCCTTCATGAGCATGCATGGCTCTTGGATACGAGCGATGAACAACATGTTACTCCCCATGCTCGACTTTCAATCTTTGAGAGATTCAATATGAAGGATGAAGTTGCGTAGTGCATCAGTTGCAACATGTTTCTAATAAAAAAACGATCACACAACACATCATGAAGGACCACGCAGTCGAACAAACACAAAGTACATCAACAATCTAGCAGCAGGATTATTTCCCCAGATAGCTGAAAGCCACAGGGGTTCTAACTTCTAATAAAGAGGGGAAGGTGATTGGCGAGATTGACGGCTGGGTGCTAGGGGGCGTGCAGTTGAGGTGCTGGTGCAGATGCTGTCTTGGGTTGCTGTTTGGTTTGAGGTGCTGGTGATGCTGCGGGCGATTGCGGGCGCATTTTTGGCGCGATGGACCGCCGTGTGCTCTGGGGGTGCTGTTTGCTGCGCTCTTCGGGGTGGTATTAGAGGTGCTGGTGTGCAATCATTCGCATATGTTTCGCTATTTGGAGCCTATGCTGCTGAAACTATTTTAGAGTAACTGTCTTTGGTAGATTTAAAAGTTGAACATAGTACTGCTACATTATGTTAAAACGTGTGCTAGAATAAATCAGTTAGGATATGATATGATTTAGGCCTTGCCTCTATCAATAAATGCCCCCCCTTCTTTATCAGTGCTAGGGGGTATTTGGGGGCTGTTGTTCCATACTAATTGTGGATATAGTTACTACAAAGTATTGGCAGGGTCACTATTGATTCATACCAATTTCATGCCATTTTTCATACCAATTTTCATGCCAATGTTCATGGCAATGTTCATGCCAATGTTATATCAATTTTATGCAACATTTATACCAATTGGGTATGATGTTTGAGCCCACATATGGTATGATATGTGCATACATGTGGTAAAGAAATGTATAATATTGGTATAAATGTAGCATACAATAAGTTTAACATTGGTATAACATTTGTATCAAATTTGTATAAACATTGGTGTCAAATTGGTGTCAAATTGGTATCAAATTGGTATGAATATTGGTATCAAATTGGTCTGAAATGGGTACTGATTTGGCCTAAAGAGTTATTGTTAGAGGCAGGCACTAAGATATGATGGTACCAGCTGCGTCAAGTTGCTTCAAGACCTGGCCAACCGATTCAACGTACACAGAGACTACAGGGGGGGAATCAGGGGCGGTATAACGTATAATTTAAATTCGATGGAGATAGTAAATTGTTTTCTAAGTGCCAGCATGTTAGTATAAGACTTTCGTTTGATTCGTACCCGCCTTCGGACTAGTTCGCTGGTCACTTTCGACTTGCAAGGTTATCTTTGGGGCCCTGTGTAAAAACCGGTGCTAAAGGCCTTGGTTTTTGAAGCCTTGGTGCTAACGGACTCTATTGTGTTGCCAAAGAACAGGGTGCCCTCGAAACAATGGAATCAGGATGATCCCTAAGTCCTTTTGAGGGTGTGTGGCAATGCGTGTGTTTTCTCGTGGACTTACGACAACAGACACCATGACGTGCAAAAACATTAGACTATTGTGCATTGTCTAAATCAGCCGCACACTCTTGGATGCGCATATTGTTTCTGACCCAGATTCCCGGATGAACGCCCAGTGAGTTGCCATCTAGAGTTCCCGGTTGGGCTGCAGGACAATGTGTGGGACGTTCGATTTGTTGCGGTTGTCGTGGACAAACACCTATTCCAGGATCCGGAGCTGTTTAGGACCAACACTGTGGCATGAGCGCGTTCTGAAAAGACGGATGGTCATCCGTGCGTGGGGACGTCACCCTTACAGGGCGACACATTTTGTGGTTTTTAGGTTCGTCCAAGAGCCCTTGGAAGCAGCCCGAATCTTCCGGAGACAGAGACGGCAATGCCAACTTCGGATTTTAACGAGGACTCTACTAGTCAAAGGGACTGACAAAAAAAATCATCAGTTCCTCACACCTTCCCCAGAATTAGCTCCCCTTTTTGCTTTTTTGCTTTTTTGGGGTCCCTTGTTTTCCACTAAGCAGGCAAGGAAATATATATATATATATATATATATATATATTTGGCTGGGGCTCTAATTCCAGCCTAGACACGGAACCAGCCCTGATTTTTTTTGGCTGCCAGGTGCGAGGATGGCTCGTTGCTGGAGGTGGACTCTCTGGATTTGCCCGAACGCTTGAAGCACGTGCTGTACGAGCTGGATATGGACAACACCCGCGCCTTGAAATGGGTCGGGTTTCTGAGGGGTTGAAAGGGGAAACTAAAGGGAAAACCACAAGTTGCAAGGGGAAACTAGAGGGAAACACCACAAGTTTGGAGGTCGCCCAATTTTTGAGACTCATGCCCAAGAGTATTGTTGTGTCACTTGAGGTAAGCCACAATCAATCGTAAATGAAGGTTGGGGATGGTCCCCGCTTGATTGTGACACAGGTCGTTTTGCTCGTCCTGAGGTCGATGCTAGACTGGCATGGGTTTGGCGGTTTTGGGAGCTGGCGCTACTTACATTTGAGAGCCCTTTTGCATTCCCAGGCTGGGGCTTTTTCAAAGAATGTCTCCTAGGAATGACTGGCGCCCTTTGGTTTCCCTAGAACCAACAGGCCATCCAATCCGATTTTTGAGAAACACTCAGGTAAAAAAGGAACAACTTCCTGGACAGTTGATGTTGCAAGGCTTGCTTGTGCCCAAGGCGGGCAGGTAACCAGTTGGAATATTCTATCACACCTTGGGGCTTGAGACTCGGAAAACCCCAAGGTGTCGTGGACGAAAAGAACCTGGAAGACTCGTTGAGGCCGGACAAATCTGCGCTGCGATCGATGTTTGACGTGTGGATGCTTGGGCTTCGGGTATCTATATATCTGTCTATGTATGTATTTGTATAATATATATATATATATCTTTATTTATATCTATATGCTGCGAAAAATATCTGCTTGGGTTGCATCTCAAGTCACGATCTGTTGCCAAGGCCAGCTCCTTGGAGGTTTCTGGGATCGAGCTCTCAGTGTGTGAAAGGCAATAACAGGTTTCAAGGTGTGCTTGCTTTCATGGGGGTAGGGGGGAGGAAGGGGAGGGAGAGGGAGCCCAAACATGTCCTTAATAAGGCCTTATCAAGGGCTTAATAAGGGCTTATTTGGCCTCCCCCTCCCCCCCAGCCCCCACAATGCTTTATAGCTTCTGAGCCCGTTTTTCTCGCTCTGAGAGCCCCTTCCTTGGTTTCAACCGGAAGCTTTCTCCGCTTCTCGCTTTTCTGTTCGGCTTCCTTGTCGCTGCAATTCTCGTCCATTCCATTCCCTCGTTTCACCTTGTTTTCGTCGTTGTGTGTGTTCGTCTTTTTTGTCCATTCTACTTGTCTGCTTCCATTTGCTCTACGTGTGTGCCAGTCAGTTTTTCTACCCTCCTGCGGCTTAATGTCCGCTTTAGGGAAGCGCTCCCGATTTTGGGCCATGTCCAGAAATGCAGGCCAAGCATGTTGTTTAGGATCATTTTGGGTCACTCCCCAAGAAAATCGCGGGATGTACTCCCTTGGCCTCTGATCATTATGTGTTAGAGGAATCCTTTTCGGGTTCCACGGTCTGCGTGGTGTATCACAAAGCCTATCTCACGCTGATGGAGCGGCCACGCATGGCCCGCAAATCTAGCGCAAGGTGGATTCATCATGGCTCAAGTAGATGGACCACCACTCTGATTCAACATCTAGTTGGCTCTCAGAGGTTGACGGAAAGCTGTTACCGTGTTTTGTAGTTGTGAGTCAAGTTGTGAGGCTGTACACTCTAAACCCCGGCAACATATGGAAAGCAGAATCACGTATCAGCGAGCCACCATTACGCAGGGTTTTAGGTCTAACATGCTCTTATCTTTATGGCTGTTTGGCTGCATCTTTGGACTTTAACTTTTGGCTGAAACGGGTGGGATTTTCCATTGGATCTACAAAAGTTAAGCTTTTTGCAGAGGGGTCGTTGCAGCGAGACAAACGCCAGGGTCATCAAGCACTTGAAGGAGGGCCTGGACTCAGACGGGAGTGGCCACGTGAGCAATCAGGCGTGCGAACCGGTGATTCGGTCGGTCACACGAGGGTTGTGCCACGAAGTTCCATTCGCATAGCGCGCTGGTTTTTCGTAAGTGAATAATCACTACTTGCCCATATGTTGCTGCGGACATCAAAGGTGATTGGGCGCTTTTGTTCTCTGGATTTCCTAGTTCGGGGTGCGGCGGCAAGCTATTCATCCTTGAGATGTTGCTGAATGGTTTTCTTTGGACATGTCTTACAATGGCCATCCTGATGAATCCATATGCGTGTCCATGTTCAAAACCAGTGACCCTGAAAGGAATCATGTCTTTCTTTTGGTTTAAGAACAAGGACAACCCATCAAGGATTTCTTCATCTTGGCACATTTGCATATGCATATGCAACCAAACTCTTTGTCAAGCCCTACTTTTCCGGAAGTGTTGTCAGCTGCTCCTTGCTTAGTCACACGTGGCTGATTCTGGGTGTGGCCCTAGACCCATTTGAAGTTGCTTTGGCGAGGGTCCCTTTAGCGCGGCATTCATTTGCAAGGGGAAGAGGGAACTCAGTGCTTTGCTACTCAACCTTGGGCAGTCACTCAGGGTTCGGCACCAGCTGACTCCCCCTCAGTAGGCTCAGCACATGTCACAGCTGACTAATTATGCACCCACTGCAGGTAGGCAAGCAAGCATGGGTTGAAATGGTGTTGTACAAAACGATCAAGTCTCCGACATAGATTACTACTTCACCGTTGAATCTTTTGATCCTACAAGGTTTCTTTGCCAATATCATTGGGTCTAGCTCATCAATAGGCATGAGTCAGCTGCCCAGAAATGTTGGTTACGCCGTTTGTTGGGGACACGCATTGTCGAATCTTCCTCAGGACCCTCGTGCGGGGTTTGCACACGACCGGCCAGTTTGAACAGAGTCCAGGCATCCAATGCCATGATTCAATGATAATGGAACGCTTACTTGGGGGGTTAGACATCTAGCACAAGGAATCCAAAGGGAAGCATGCCCAGGGCCACAAATAGGAACAGCTTTTTTCTCTTTTTTTTGGGGGGGTGGTTGAGGACCTGTGAGGGTGTACCTCTGGGGGGGTTATATTTTGGGAATCCTGTTTTCTTGGCTATCACCTGCATGGGTGTTTGTTGGGGTCCCCTTTTTGACACATACCCGTATATTTTGTTGGGGTTTGGAGCAAGCACCGTAGCTCTTAAGTGGGCCATTGGTAGGAGCTTCAACTGCTGCAAGCTAGCAAATGAAGTCGGGTCCAAATGCACCTTCTCAACATTGAATCGGGTCTTCTGATGTTGCAGGGCTTCTTTCCGCAGCACGAGAGAACTAAAACCGGGAAGAAGAGATTGCCTGTTCTTGCTGCACAACTTGCATCGCTAAGCAGTCAGTCGCCGGTTGGCTGTCCGGAAGGTGGTCTTCGCAACCAGCACAAAAACACGTGGCTGTGGGTCAAAAATACGCACCCGACATGGAACCCTGGCAAATGAAAAAGTAGACTAAAACCTGCGTAACCATAGGTCTTGAATTTTGAGCCACACCCACATCATGCTGTTTGACTGGCGAATGCATATGCGAGTTGTTGCTGGCCGATTCCGGTTTGGCGTTGGCTAGCTGTCGATTAAATGGCTTCGCACCGCCAACTGGGCGAAGGAAAAATGAGCACCGCGCAAAATATGTTGGCCTCTATTTCTACTCCCTGTTTTGCCAGGGTTATAGCAAGGGAAGTTTAAACTTTGACAGGCATAGAGTCACAGGTCACCGGGTCTTAGACGCTGCTACATGATGTTGCGAGGAGTTCGTGTAGTGTAGCATAGCATGCTTTTGTACCCACAGCTGGCAATTAGCTGCCATTCAATGCAATCTCCAGAAATTCCACTGTCTCGTTTTGGCAAAGATGTCTAAAGCGGGCGAGTTCGCTTGAATGAGTTGACGCTCTTCTTCTTTTTTTTGACAGGCTTTGTTTGCCCCAAAATGGGGGGGTGAAAGGCGAGCTGCCACCCCTGAAAGAAGGATCGAAGTGATGTCCAGGAAATGGAAGATGGCGTGGCACTGCTCTCGAAGTTGATGCTCCTCGCTCTGACTGGTCATTGACTACGGCTGTCATGGAGACATTTTACACATAATATGACTGCGGGTCAAAAATAGGTGCCCCAAATGGAACCCTGGCAAATGGAAACACGGACTAAAACCTGGGATGGTTTAATTTTGACCCATAGACATTTGGGTCAAAACCCATTTTGGGGTAGGTGCACCCCCCATTTTAGAACGTACTTTAGAGGGGATTGGGATGTTGCGGGGGTACGGGCTTTTGACCCATGGCCATAATATGGTACCTCAGACCATAGCTGCACCACCGGCTCTCGTAGCTTCTCAACTGGATCGCGCGTGTGTTACCTTGGGTCTGAATGTTTTTGACTCACGGTACTGTTTTTGGGTTCGAGCAGGGAGCGGCGGCACAGGCAACCGCGACGTTACGCACGTCGCAAACGGGTGCGTGCGTTATGGTCCTATTGCCAGCTGCTTTGCAACTCTGGTAATGAGGGGCGCTTTGTAGCGTTGGAACCTAGCATGTTTGCCGCACGCTTGTGCCCAGGTCGTGGGTATGGTTTCTATAGTTGTGGTACGTGGTATGTGTCAGCTTTGGAAGAACAGCATGTCGAGCATTGCACAACGCACATCGAGCATGGCCCAAATCGCGAAAGTTCTGTAGGGTTTGTGGATCGTAAGGATTTGCCCGAAACATCCAACTGAGGCTTATTTGGAACACGTGTTTGAGATGTCTTGAGAGAAAGCCGAGTAAGCGAAAAACAAACTTGCGACTTGGGCAGGTTGCTTGTGGAATTCCCGCTTGAGGAAATTGTTGCAGACGTTCCAGCTGTCCATGCGGGCGGTTTGGTTCCAGTTGGTTTTGTGTGCATTGTTTGGAACACATGGCAAAGGGCAATGGATTGAGTATATCACAACCATTGACTTGTCATGCCTTTCATGCATCGTAGTTTAGTTGCCTAGTTTGGATAGTACAAGATCGTCACCTTTCAATCTCAAATCGGATTTTCAGAGGCATTGCTTGCCGTGTTCAACAAGGATTCCTTTGACACATTTTGCTTGGATGTTAGGACTTTAACTTTTTGCCAACTAATGGGTTTTCCATTAAACCACTAAAAGTTAAACTTTTAGCAGGGAGCAGAAAGCAACCGAGATTCGGAGCACTTGTTGGACTTATCAGGCCTCGGAATTCAGATCTCAGCTGGATCTGCCGCTCAGGAAGGAGAAAACCCTCAATGCCCAGGAGATGCCTTACAAGCACCTGCCCGAATGCATCCAGGCCAGAAAAATGGCACATGAATATACACTGGGCCCATTATTGTGGTTGTTTTGGAGATTATCAGAGTCAGAAACTAGGGTTGTTCCTCTTGAACCTACCACTTAGTGGGTGAGTTTGACAATTGTAAAATAATGGGGCCAGGAATATATCCTCCATAAGGCACCCCCGCAGAGCCAGCCCCCGCCCCATTGTGGCGGCAGCAACATTTGCCGAGGCTGTGGTTGCTTGCTTTGAAAACAGCGACGCGCAGCGTATTTGAAGTGTTGACATGCTGAAGGGTGGGTCCCTTGTCGGCAGATTGTGCTGCTTGACAGTTCACTGCTTCCGAATCGGCCGTTTAACGGCGGTCAACAGCTTTCCACAATCAACCCAGGGGTCGATGAGCTCCGGTGATTTAATGGAATGAGACGTCGAAACCGGGGGGAGAGCCCCCCCAATGTTTCATTGGATGCGGCGTCGACTTGCTTTGACTATCCAATTCGTGATGCTCAAGACTTGTATAGAGGGTAACGCGTTTAAGAATAACATAGAGTTAGGAAGAAAGTGCTTTCGAAATCTTGCCACATGTTCTTGTCCGAATTTACCAGCTGCCAGGAAGTCATGCGTGAATGGGACGCCGATGGCAGCGGCATGGTGGGGGTGTCCGAGCTGTCCGCGGCGGCCCAGGCATACAAGAAGGCTCGGGCACGGCGTCAATCATGTCAATGACACCTGTCTCATACGTTCGGCCGATTGGCTTGTTGGCTGACATCTTTTTTTTTTGTGTGTGTGTACCTTCAGCTCGGTATATGGAATGTTCAGTCACCCCTGCCCAGATCGTGTCTTGCTTTGTGCTTGAGGGAACCCAAAGGGAAACCACACAATTTCGTGCTTTTTCTATTCAGAGACGTGTCTACAACCTCTCCGGCTTCCGGACTTTTTGCTGCTGCGTGGGTATGCCCTTCGTGAACACGCGGCTTCCGAGAGGCCAAACCGCGCGAGAGTTCCCGCCAGGTTCAGCAGGAGGGGCGCATGATGAAGAAAATCATCGCCGGCATGGCCGTCGTGATCCTGATCCTCATGGCTGGAATGTGACGTGACCGCAGTTGGCGTCTTGACGTCTGGACGTCTTGACGTGCTTCGCTTGGTTTGGAGCGGGTCGTGGTGTTTTTGTGTGTTCTTGTAAGGAGTCGCAGGTGTTGTTTTTGGTTCATTTTCCCCAGCTTGCCTTGCGAGTCATTAACTGTTTCTGTGTGCTTGTGTTTGTGGAGTCGCAGGTGCTGGCTTGCGGTATTTTGTTTGCCTTGCTTGCTTGCTTGCTTGCTTGCTTGCTTGCTTGCCTGCTTGCCTGCTTGCCTGTTTGCCTGTTTGCCTGTTTGCCTGTTTGCCTGTTTGCCTGTTTGCCTGGTGTGCGTGTGATTGCGTGGTTATTTGTGTTGCTTAGTTCAGTATATTGTTTATTTGCTGATCGATTTGTGTGTTGTTTATTTCTTCGATTGTTTTGTTGTTCTTGATTTTGTTTATTGACATGGCTTCATTCAGTTCTGTATTGTTTCATGTATTTAGGTAGCTCTGTATTTGCCTATGTGTTCTAAACGTCCTGCTTTCTGTCTTGCTTTTTGTCCTTCTCTCCTTTGTGTATTTTGTTTTATTTCATTGGCTTTGTTGGTGTTTTCTTATGAATTATTTGCTTATTTTGTGATTTGTATTGTGTTCTTTATGTATTGTCTATTTTTCATTCATGTATGTATTTGTTATTGTGGTAAGGTTTTACTTTATTTATTTATATACTGCTCTCTATGTGTATATTTGTGTTTTGTTTGTTCGTGTCTTTTTTGTTCATTCCTTTCTTTCTGCATATGTATTCATTTATTTGTTTATTTATGTGTTTATGTGTTTATGCTTGTTGCTGCTGCTGTTTTTGTTCATTCCTTCTTTAACTGTTTATTATGTAATGATTGATTGATTAGTTGCGTCGTTCTTTGTTCCTTTTGTTCATTTCGTCGTTTGCTTATTTATTCTGTCCTCTCTTTGTCTCCCTCTCACTCTCTCTCTCTCTTTCCGTCTTTCTGTCTTTCTTCAGCGTTTGCAATCATTATTTCCTCATGATTATGCTTGTTTATGTATACTTTATGTCGTTTGTTATGTGTTTCTTACTTTTTTGCAAGTGTATGTCTTTCTCTTGTGGGTTTGTTTGTTATTTCTTTATGTCTGCCTTTATCGGTTTATTGATTTCTCTATGTTTGCATTTTTTGATTGTGTTATTCATTCATTGATTGACTTACTTCTCCAGCTATGTTGTCCCGTTCTCTCTTCTCCATTTCTTAGCTTCTTCCTTCCTTTCTTCCTTCCTTTCCTTCCTTCCTTCCTTCCTTCCTTCTTTCCTTCCTTGAGGGTTTATGTGTCCATTTCTGGTGCCCGGTCCCCTGATGGAGTCGTTGGGACTCAGCCACTCCATTTGTTCCCCGTCTAAAGTCTCCGAGGCACAAACACTTTGGTGTTTTCTCTGTGCATATGTGTTTGCAGGCGGGTTTGTCTCAAAAGTGGCACCTCCCCGGACAAAGTATAAGTTTGTCTTGTGTTTCTTTTTCTCTTTTTCTGTTTTTTTCTTTGGGGGGGGCGGTATGATAATTTTATGAACCGTAGTTTGGACACTGCCCCCGCCCACTAGCAGTGGGCTGCTTTGCTCTTAGTGCGGGAGACCAGAGTTCAGCGCGTTGTACGGTGCCGGATGTGATCGTGTGCCCGAACATCCTGAGCGGCCATCACTTTCGGCAATGGCGGGCCCGTATTACACCGGTCAAGCTTAAGCAAGCTCTAGCCAAGAAAGGGTGTCCATACACGCAACGGACCTGAAAAAGAATCAGCGCTGCACTGTGGCTGCGTGGAGCCCGCAAGGTTGGCCTCAAGGGCCACCCAGATCAAGCAACTTGAAAGTTTACTAGGAAACTACATCAGAAACACGGCCACGTGTGTCTCGCTAGAAAAGTTTGGCCATGGGCAACATGCGCGCGCGCGCGCGGGACTTGCCCGCAAAGTAGGTAACGGCGTCAGCTACCGGAGCGGGCCGGCTTGCCTTGCTTCATCAAGCGCGCAGTGTTGTCCGGCTGCATCGCGTATCTGGGCAACACCGTGGTTGCGCCCGGGCTGGGCGCTTGGGTCGAGGGTGGCTCACAAAGACCGTGGAGTTGGACTTTCTGTTGCGCGTGCTGGGCGCACCAAATGGCACCAAGAGGTGAACCAGGTTCCACACTGGCTCATCGAAGTGCGGCAAGGGAAATACTATGGCACCCATCCGGGACTCTGTCGACACCTAGGCGCCAAAGGGCGGTGTGTCCCTTTTGCCAAAGGGCCTTGCGCACTGGCACCAGTGGATGATGGAAGTTTGGGCCAGCGGCTAAACTTTGCAGTGACTGGCATTGTGCTTGGGAGCGGGGTCCAAAAACCATGTTCTACCGAGGTTCACGTGAAGCCCACAAAGCCCCACTATAGGCGCTATAGGAACCCGACCCCTTCGAACCCCTCGTTTAACCCACGTGCCAGTTTGGGTCGTCGGCCTTGAAGCGCTCAGGTTCGCTCTTTCTTTGGCGGCCGCAGAGATGGCCAAGGCCTCCGTGAGTTCGTGTCGACCGGTCAAAGGTCTATCCGAGTCTCCGTTGATGTCCGAACGGGTCGTACAAGGATTTTATTTATTTATTTTCGTTTGTTTCTACGGGGATTTTACTATCGGCAAAGGGGCAATCATCCATAAAGGTGTTGTTTTTGTTTGCTTTTATCGGGAATTGATATCGGCAAAGGGGCATAATAATCCATGAAAGCTGTTCAGTCGATGAGCCCAGGTAGGCACAGTGGTTCGATGTGGGCAGGGTTCCAGAAGGGTGCTGGACTGGTGGGGAAGGCTTGCTTTTGAGGATACCTGGGCTTGTATTTTTGAAGGGTTGTAATAGACATGGGTGTTTTTCAAAATGCGGATTCGGAGCTCCAAGATGGCAACTGTCCCTCAAATCAACCGTTTGGTACCCAGCAAAAGCCGACAGGTTCATGAAAGCTATGTGTTCCGAGCTCAAAACATATTTGTCACTTGGTGTGGAGGGCCATGGTCCCCTCAGGTGGGGAGTTGTTTCAGAACCATGACCATGGCCCGCGCATAGCAAGGAGTGGAATTCGTTCAATGGGAAGTGTCCATGGCCACACCCTTTTGTTGGGTCCCTTTCAAGGCTCCCTTCGTACTTGCTCAGCAAAGGTTTTGGGATTGAACCTTGCAATCCAAGTCACGGTTCCCCATGCACAATGCGGCTGATATCTTCTGCCATGGACTATTTGCAGGTAAAATTGAGATGATGCACTTGAGTCTTCTCCTCTCCCATTTGGAGACACTAACGTTTTCAGCAAATATGAGCGTGCAACGTCCTGTGCCTTGGCTACTTGCTCGTAGACCCTGGATTCAATGGGCAAACATCTTCTTCTTATGTTTCTTCTTTTTGCGAGCGCTTGAATTCCAGATAGCAAGTCTTTTGTTGTCCTGTGGCCAGCCAGGAATGTGTTTTAATGGCAGCAACCCTTCGCGCATTCTAGTTCCAGAGCCCGTGTCGGATGCGTACGCACCGCGACAGGAGATGCGTGGAAGTGCTGATGGCACCATGGAATCGTCGAGCGGAGTGACTGTGAAGGCTCGGCTCCGGAGCGACACTCCAGAGAGTGGCAAACTAAACGGAAGCGACACCGTCTGCCAATTTGAGACAAGCAGAACTTTGTCCGACAACTTATATTTCGGGGCAGCTGTGGTGAACACATCTTTGGGGCAACCATCCGCGCCTCTCAGTCCGTGTTTTTAGTTTCCATCTGGCATCTTGAATTGTGCCTGAAGTGGATATTACACGAAAGAAACTTTGACCTGATTCAAGCATGCAGGCGAATTGCAAGTTTCTACTTCACACTCGTGTGTCTTCTGTACCTCTGAACCAGAACCGACGGCATATGAGCAGTGACAGTACTTGGAGAACCTTTCAGTTTTCAGAGATTTGACTGACGTCCTCATCAAAGGGTTTTCGAATATGCTGCAGTCAGACAGTCAGAGCACCTCAATTGAGGCTGCCCGCAACGACCCTCAACAGTCTGGGCAAATGTTAGGCAACCTCACAACTATGTTGATGGGCGACCTCTCCATGAGGTTCCTTTCTTAAGAAGCCAAATGGTGTTCGCCATAAATTGCCATCAGTTGCCAATCGACTATATGGAATCCCGATGGCCCATAAAATACTCGCTGGCACGATGTTGCAGAAAAACTCGCACGTCTGTCCGGGCTTGCCTTTCGGAGGTTGCCAGCTCCGATTTCGAAATGCGGCCTGATGGGACCCTCATCATCCGGGGCGCCAGCAGCAATGCCACTTGGACATGCCAACCAAAGACGTCTCGACGGAGCAACGGACACTGTCACCAGGATATCGTTTTCCGTTGTGCCCTGATTATATCAGGTAAATGGGTATTGGTTTTGGGTAGCCTCCCTATCGGTTTTGGTCAAAATATTGTCGGGCTTTCATGTGACCTATGATCAAGTATGACCAAAGCTGAACAAACAGGGCCAAGAGAACCACATTCCACACGGAAGAACCTTCACCAGCCATCAGCGTTGTTGCCTGTTGCTGCTCGCAGCTTGCTTCCCCCGCCCTTGTCCACATGAATAAGATGCAGGAAGGTCCCTGAGTTTCCAATGACCACATAGTCGTTGGTCACAAGAGGGACGTTTTTTAGTGGTAGTCAGTGAATCCAGTTCCTCCCCAAGTAGTCAGGAAGCACCACTGCGTAGCAACCAGTTATTGCGGATCCACTTAGGAGCTGCACACATCATCCGTCAGCCATGTTGAATGAGGGGCCTATCCCAGCATGGATGTTTTCTTGTGATAGCTACTCGTACCCGGTTTTCATGTGCAGCAGACTCATCTTGGTTTTGCATAGGCACAAAGAGTGTCCAGTCTCCAAGGTGAGTCACATTGATTTGTTCCGAATCGTCTCCCCCAATAGTATGTCTCTCGTATAGTTTCCGCCCCAATCTCGCCTCCTGGCAAAATAAACAAAACACATCAACAGCATTGCTCTTAGGAGGTTGTTTGTAGTTTGCAACTTTCCCCAGCGACGAGAGACTGACTTTCGGGCATCCCATCCATATAATTACTCAAATATGGTATGTCCCAGCGCCCATTTCTTTCTTCTCCAGCCAACGATTGCAGGGTTTACAGGCTTAACTGGGGTTGGCATAAGTGGGGATTTAGAGTCAGCTAGCTGGCTCTGCACTTGGGTATGTGGTGAGCTGCATTTTTACGTGTGTCAAACCCCGCTTCCCTCCAACCGACAAGTGGTTGAAGCTCAAGAGACATATTTCCGCTTGGTTTCTAGGGAATCTGTGGCGAATCCTATCACTTCCTGAGTGGATTGCCTCTGCTTGTTTTACCGCCAAAAAAGGGGTTTGCAAAAGCATAAAGTCCAGAAACTCAGGAAGTGAGTCTTGAACGGCGCCGATGGGTTGCCCGTTCAAGATGCATCGGACCCTTCCGCTTGGATGGGCTGAAAAGGCAACGCGAAACAACTAATGCTTGTTCAACCCGTGTTGCCCTTGTGGTGCATAGTGAGCAACAATCAGTCGCACATGGACCCCAATGGTGGCCCACACGTTTCCTGGTTGAAATGAGTGCAAAGTGTTCCTGTTGCTTGAATATTTGTGATCACTCGCAAGATGGGTGTGTCTTTTTGGATACTCGTACCCCGTTTTGGGGTTGGTTTAAAGGGAAGCCAACACTAAAACCGTTGCCCCTCGGTCCGATTCCTACAAAAGAATGACAGACCATAGGTCAAGATTCAGCCAGCTGGTTTTAGTCGCCGGTTCTATTTACCAGGGCAGCCGGTTCTGGGGTTCTGACAACAGCCATATGCTAACAGGGGATAGCTCTAGGTGTTCTAATGGGTTGGGATCAAGGACAGCCCCTCAATGGCAACCCTCCAATGCGTCAGATCCCAAAATTGGCAATGGGTCATTTGTTTTCACCACCACAGGTTTTAGTCGTTGGCAACCCATTTACAGAACGCGCAACCCGTTTTGGGGCTACCCTACCTCCATTTGCTTAAGAATATTGATTGTTATTTTCCCTTGTTGGTTTTAACAGGAATTCATCACTACTGGACATTTGTTTTTATATCTTTTTCCTGGGGCCTTAACCAAATGGACGCGTATGCTTGACCACCACCGCCATGTGTCTGACACGGCACGAGTTCTCGCCCAGCTCTGAGGCCAGCTGCCCCGCGAACACCACGTGCCGGCGCTTGCAGGCGGCCAGCAACGTGCTGCAGGTGGCATCCTCTGAGACGCCGCGGCGACTGCGCCTGGGACGATATAGAAACCCAGAGGCCCAGTGGCCCAGTGGGTGCCAGCTGAATTGTTTTCCCAACTTGTTTGTTGCCCAGTGGGTGCAATTCGCTTTTTTCAACTTTGTTTTTGGGGGAAGGGTTACCCCTTGGGATGCTTGGTGGGTTGCTTCCCGCTTTCAACTTTTTTTTGGGGAAGGGTTCCCTTTAAACTCAACTAACCAAAAAAGGCGCCGTTTCTGTTTTTCCCCATGGCCCGTTTTGCATCTGAGAGACGGACCTGAGCACATGGACCAACCTTCCCTGAGAATCACAGAGTTATCCTCTACCCTTTTCTGGTTCAGTGGGAAGAACTGTCAACCCCAGCAAGGGTTCTCTTGTTCTCTTTTCTCCGATTTTCCGAGACCTTGATTCATTAATCGTGTGCCTCCATCACTTGGCATTTGGCTGCAATGCTGGAGGCACGGAGAGATGCTATTTTACCCAGTCCCCACCAAAAATTGTCTGGCCGCCAGTCTTACAATGATTCCTTTGACAGCTGCTTGAACATAGTATGATATGATTTAAACGGATTCGGACTTAGGCGAAGCGGCTGGCAACGGCTAATCAACTCAGACCGACCCTTTCAAACCTCTTGTCGTTCACTGAGCTGTCTTCCCCACGTTGTTTGGCCATCAAGTTGCGCACGGAGAGCTGAAGGAATCCTCAGCGAGCGCACGGACCGGATTGTCGGGTTCGGTTTTTTTTGGCCCAGTGAAGTTCTAGTCATAGCAACCCGGACCTGTCAACTGGCCGCGTTCGTAAACAAAAAGCTGACCTGCAGTTCTAGTGGCAAGCTAATCGCTGAGCCTTATCAGAGCTTTGGTAAGTGAGAATGCACTGCTACCCCATGAACACGGAATCCACCAGATCCCCGAAGGAAGATGGTGGGGCCTTCATTCAGGTTCCATGTTGGCGAAAGGGTACCTATATTGAGGCGGCAATCTGTGGTACATTATTGTTTCTTGGAGCTTCTGCTTGAGGGAAGCATAAACAGCTACCCTCCCACTTTCCAACCTTGGTCTGTTGCTCTTTGGCGCGAATTTTAAGCACCTGTCCTTTCCGATTTCTAACTTACCAGTGGAACGTGTAGGTTTGCAGGGGGTCAAAGACCAAGCCAACCCAGCAACACGTCAGACAGTCGCAAGAATATTGTCTGTCAGGGGCCAGCCAGGTCCATCGCAACCGGACATAGTCATGCTAGGAAGGCCGTTGGTCGACTTCCATTGTTGACTAGATGATCAAAGCAGCTGCATTGATGCTCAGCAGGTCACGTTGTGGTCTTCGTGGAAGCAGATAAGAACTCAAACTCTGTGAAAGATCCAGCATTGAAGTCGGACAGTTCCGGTGACGAGTTCTGAGTGCAAAAGAAGGCAGCTGCTGAGTATGATCGTTCCGCATGGTGCCATTGGCATTGCCAAAGTGACTTAGTTGATGTCGAAGCTGTACCACGAGTTGCTTAGGTCTTCTACTTTGCCGGACATTGCGTTCAAGGAGTTGCCTCTTGGCAGACTCAGAGCTCCAAAACTGAGCCAAGTGAGTGCCAAAACTGCCAAGTCACGCACGGACCTTGGAGCTTCGATCCAGCTAGTAACCCTTGTAAAGCTTAGTCAAGCCAGATACGAAATCTAGTTCGAGTTGAGGGGCTCTCCTTCAGAAGAGACTGCGTGACGCATCATGACATTGGTTCTTAGATGCACACAGCGATTGTTATGCTGCATCGGACATTATGTGCGGTGTGACTAGTGGTGTGTCCGGCAGCTGAGTTTTGCTATTGCCCTTATGATTATGAGTATTTTAGTGTTTACGTTATTACTATTAGACAGTTTTTTCATTATTCAGTGTTTGCTTTGTCAGACGAAGCAATTGTTCGGGCTTTGTTTAGAGGGACACTGCACAAAACTCATTTTTGGAAATTCCCCATTAGACCATCCCCGAGCCACTTCTGTTGATCCGTGCAGGTGTGTTCGTCTGAAACTATATGAACCCCCAAAGCCGTCTAAGCCCAAAAGGGGATGGCTTCATACACGAGGTTCGGGGCGTCCGTGTTGTTTCGCTTGTTCACTTCGGGTACTTGTAAGGGCCGCTAAGACCGCAACTTCATCAGACGTTGGTATCAGCGTTTCAAAAAAAAACATGTTTTGCATGGGTGTCAGCGGGACTGGAGACGTGGCACAGAAAGGCCGGAGAGGGCGAAAGCCCTGGCACAGTATCCATCCCCGTAGTGACAGCTGAGGAAGTCCTTGACACTGAAGGACAACTTGGGCCACTCGTTGAAGGCGCCAGATGCGATGTGGTGACTCTTGCAGAAACAAGGGAATCCATGAGAGTGAGTATTGAACAGCAAAGTTTTATGAATGGTGGCGACAGAATGGCATTGAATAGCATTCGTCCCAAAGAATTGGCCATTCATATTGTTCAACCAAAGGAAGTACTCCATTGTGGAAAAACACGGTTTTCATGGTCACCAATAATAAAGTTGTTTAGACAACTGTCCTATTCTCTATGTTTTGTTCCTGTGTCCGGGACTTGCCGAAAGCAACTCTTGAATGTGAATGTATTGGAGAAAGAACATACAATTAGAATAATGCAAGCATTGGTCGATGATAAGTGTTGTGTCTTCCATGGTCAAGTTTGGTTATTTGTTATGTGTTCGCAATGTCTATGTTTGTATCGTTTGTTCTGGAATGATTATCCTGTCGTTTGTTGTTTAATGTTCCTCATGTTTTGAAAGATACAATCTATTCAATGTTACCCGTGTTTTGTCTATTCAAAGTTACCCGTGTTGGCTAATTACTGTCCTTAATCTATGATATTATCTCATCTGAAGAATTGAAGTCGAGCTAACATGACCACCGGCTGACCTAGACACAAGCTGACACTCAAGCAAGCGTTTTTTTTTTTTGGCACACTCGGTGCTAATATGAGTCTGCCTCAAGATAAGGACCCCTTTTTGGGATGGTTTCATAGAGCAACAAAGAAACAAAATGTGTTTAAACATGTTTATCCATTTCAAGTGGCGCGTATTTGTGCAGCAGATACCAGCCGGTGCCTGTGCCACAACATGTGAGTCTCCGGTCTCGGGTTTGGACCATGCCCCCCCACCCACCCACCCCCCACGTTCTTCCCGTTTTGGAATGGTTTTGACGGCAAACAACAAGGAACCCGTCTGTCTTGACACGGTCTATATCCTCTAACGTCTGCGTAAGTTTGGTTGGTACCCGTCTCAGGATTTGAGAGGAAGTGCCACGAAACCACTCCTTTAATTTGGTGGTTCTGCGAAGAGACAAGTTGTTTTCATCGGGAATTACCCCAAGACGGGTGGGTTGAGACCCCAACCCCCAGTACCAAATGGACATGAGTCAAAATTAAACCATCAAAAACCGCAGGTTTTGGTCCATGTTTCCATTTACCAGGTTTTTTGGGGGTACCTTTTTTTGATCCACACCCAAATCTGGTTCCTGGCAGGTGAATATCAACAGCTTCACCCGGCTCACCTTGAAATCTTCCAGGTGCGGCTCGGTGATCCAATTGGACTGCACCCAGGGGCGCCTCACCCTGGACGACTACGCGCCTCGGATAAACGGACAATGGAATGCCTCGCTCGCTTTTCCCGCTCGGCTTCCCGTGTTTGTTTTGCTGTGGGTGCGATTGAACATCACTTTTCGGGAATGCCAGCTTTAGATGAAGTTACTCGGCAGCTCGCCTTGAACAAATGATCAATTCAGGGTGCGGGATCTGTGCAGGTGTTTTTTTGTTTGTGTGTGGTGTGTAAGTTACAACCTTGACGCCCAGCCGCTTTATGTTGGGAGGTGCCTGAAGGAGGACAACTGTTCGAACAAATAGGCATGTGCCCAAACTAGACCCATACAATTGTTGACTGCCACCAAGAGGGTGTTCCCAAAAAAAGCGCCCAACCATCCCTCAAAGTAAAATGTTGGCAAATGGTGGCGACCAAACAGGGCTTGCAACCGCGAACATGAAGGCTCGCTGCTTGGAGCACCCTTGTGCTGGGTTGTATTTCATGGCGAATGCAAGTCATTTGGCGGGGGAGGCGGATAAGCTCATTTCTGAGCCGTGTTGATGTTTCCCTCTTGTCCGGCACCCTTTCTTGCGACAAGCTTTGCTTATCATGGCAATTATGGGATAGACATAAGCTGAAAAGCGCAAATCCATGACATATCCTATTTTACACGAGCTCAGATATCGCCCATAGGGGGCGGTTAACAAAAAAGCGATTCCACATTATGTTATGAAGTTGTTTTGGTTTTGTTGTATTGTTTTTAGGGGATATTAGATAGAAGTGACAAGCCCCATTCTCTCGGGCTTATTGGTTGTCTTTCAACGACATCCCGTCTTGCCCAGCGCAAGTGTTCCTTAGAAAAGGTTTCCTTGAACAAATCCATGTCCACACTGAGGAGATGACAGCTGACGCCGTGTTCGAGGCAGGGCAACACCTTGCGTGTCAGCGAGTGGAGGCAACTGAAAGGTGCGGACTTGTTCGGTGAAGGCGAGTCGCTCAAGCGCCCGCCGTGTCAACGGCATATTATGGAAAGCCGCTGCTGCTCGAGTTCAACTTGGCTTAGTTAATGGACTCCCCTGCTTTCAATGAATTGGTGTCACAAAAGGCTGTGCACATGTACTGGGTAAGCCAAGGCATTATTAACCCCTAGCTTGGCCTTATTTCAGAGGCATGCTAGCAAAAATAAATCAGGGTGAAGGATTTTATCTCAGGAAAGCCTCACGAGGAAGCGCCATGACCCTAGGACAGTATGCTTCCGTTTGTTGTTTGTTTGTTTTTTGCGTGCCTGTGGATAGCCGGACGAGCCGGCACTGTTTTCCTGGAGAAGGCTAAATTGAAAGTACGCCCAGCCATATCTTGAATGATTGAGTTTACCGTGGCTGGCGCATCCAGCGGGATCTCTCCTATGATTCGTCGGGAACCAAGTGTGCCATTTGCTGCACTGGGCCTGCAGCCCAGCATGTGCTTGGACGCGTTTCACCAACCGACCGGGAGTGCTTCCTTTGGGTTCCTGAATGCCCAGGGTTCTGCATTTGGCCGAGTGATGGGAGTCATGGAGCTGAGCAGTTCCACGATTTGCCCCACGAGTCGCGCCCCATTCGCCCTCCGCGAGTCGAGTCCCTTAGACAAGTGGTTCAAACATGCTCGAACTGGTGGATCATCGCTTCACCTGCTTCACCCTGGGCAATTCTTCGGGGGCTTAGTAGGGAATCTGCGTGGCATTTGTTTTTACAAAACAAAACAAACATGTGAATCCGGGCTACCTTGGTGGTGCTCAGCAATGAGGGAATGACATTTTTTTTTCTCCAACTGGTGGTTTCCTTGATTCGTTGGAATCCCAATCCAAAGACACCCGGTCTCCTCAAGTCATTGCCGAGATTCTTATCGCGCGGCAGGGCTTTCTGAAGGATGCCGGCATGGAGGGCCTCTTTGAGGACAGATCGATCGGTCTGACCCACCATGGGCGCGGGAACTTGGCCCGAAAGGGTCCGTTTTCTTGGGGCCTTTTGGGTTGACCACTGTTTTTCCTGGCCCTTTGGGTTGTTGTTGTTTTCCTGCAAATTTGGGCAGAAGGAGGAGGAATCCCGAGAGTTTTTGTGGTTCTCTTCTGGCCAGTGAATCGAGACTGCAGAGTTCCCAAAACCTGCCAAAGCCGAGCTTTTCCCAACTTTTGGTTCTTTCTCTTTGGTCCTTTGGTTCACTTGACTGCTATTGGGTTGGATCTTTAGACTTCAACTTGTTGGACATCAAGGGGGTTTTCCACTAACCCCTAAAGTGAGACACTTTGCAGCACCCAAGTTCAGTGGCCCCAAGAACTGCCCCTTTTTCGCTTGGGTCAACGGTACCTTTCGAGGACGGCCCCGTCTCTGGCTTCGGGCGCCGACTCAGCAGCACCGACGGGATGCTGGAAGGCTTTTTCAATATGCGCCCCGGCAAAAAAGTCTTCTTTGTTTTTGTCAGGTACTCACTTCCTGAGTTCATGAACTTTAAACTTTTTTGGAAAGACCATTTTAGTGGTAAATGTATAGTTTGAACCTTTTTTTGGGCCATCCACTCAGCAGGTGAGGGTAAGCTCGTCGAATTGCTGTGGCGAAATAAATGAAACAGCTGGGGTTACGCAAGTTTTAGTCTTTGTTTCCAGAAGGTGCTATTTTGGGAATACTTTTTTTGGCCACAGCCGGATATGATCTGTCAAAACAGGGATTTGGATCAACATCGGCGGTTTTCCTTTGAACCAGCTTAAAAAAGGGTACTCTCAAGAACACCGCACCTATATGCGCCTTGGTCGAAGCAATTGGCAGCAATGCATCCTGAAGACAGATCTGGCAACCATGATCAGGTTTCCATTTCAGCGAGCCATTGTAATGACCCATAGCAGGCATGCGCTTTCTGCTCACGTTCTTTCCTTGGCCAATCAACCTGAAGGGCTTTTCGGACGGTTCCGTTTTGGGATGCTTGCTTTTTGGCTTCCCTTTTTGGCTTGCAACCCCAAGGGTACCCGAAAAGCAGAGAAGACCACTACATGTTGCGTGCCCCTGCAAGTGGCCAGGGTGTTCATTCCAGTTGTTAGTTTTCTCCACACAAGCCCAAGAAACATGCTTAGGAATCGTTCGCTTTAAGCTACCCTGAGTTGCCAGCATGTTCCCCTTTGAGATTCAAAATCAACTCACTAGAATAGCATCTGCAATTAACCTGGAGCATAAGAAAGTGGTCCCCAAGAAGTAGCTTTCTGTAAGCTCGCTCGGGTTGCTCAGGTTTCCTCAGCGAATTTTGCTGGAGAATGATGAGAATGTGCGAATTTCCTCGTTCTCAAACCTGTGACTGGTTTCCTCTTCCCCTCAAAGAGGGGCTGGCGGCCTTTTTTAACAGACATTGACAACATAGTACTTCTTTTTTGAGGATGCCCGCTTTTTGTATTGTTTAAATTGGGAACCAAAAGGAACACCACCATGTTGGGGGGTCCCTTAAAACAAGACACACCCATATGATTATATATTGCATTATTGGTTGCTAAGAACTATATCAACACTTAACACCCAAATGAAAAACTACATGCATGCCACAACGACCACATGTTGACTGTGTCTCGTATGGTTTTCGATTGGTGGGCGGGCGAGCGGGTGGGTGGGTGCGTGGGTGGAGCATGTTCAATTTCGGTTCACATCAGACCCTTTGCTACATTTTCACCATACACCTAAACCAACATGTACGGCTAAACTGCGGCTAAACAAAGTTGGGATTGTGCTGGGTTACTCCAAGTTAATATGTATTGGCAGGAACGGGTTCAGGCAATAGTGATGTTTTCCTCATGAAGGTCCTGAGTAAGCCGTGAGCTGCGTGAATGCGTTGACTCTGTGCCAGCTGGCGACTTGTGGCCTGGGAAGAACACGTGTTGACCCTTGGCAACCCCTTCACGTGTAATTGTTCCCACTGAACGGTTCCAGTTGGGGTCCCGCACTCGCGTATTTCCGCATTTCCGATTTTTTCGGGTCTCTGGGTTTCTTGGGAAAGTTCTGGGGAGCTAACTTTGACGGAGTTCCCAAGTTTGGCTGCGTGTTCGCCATTTCGCCGGTTTGCTTGGAGCGGTGTGTGGCGCCGGTTCCTTCTGCCATGAGTCTGCCATGTCAGATCCTTGCCCACTCGACGACGTGCTTTCCTTTGAATGCAAACGCCGGCCCTCCTTTCTTTTTCCGTGAGCACAGGGCAGATATGATTTCATCCTGCCCACATTGCCCAAGACAAGCAGAGGCGGAGTCGTGACCATCCCCCCAAGAAACGTGGAAGGGCAAACTGCTTGCCGAGCCTCCCTACCGGACGGCGCAAGGCTGGAGGATGTGGAATGGGCCTGCGAGTCTGTGAGCCTGCCGAGTCCCAACGACATCCCGCAGTACTACCACGCGCCTCGCATTTTTTTTTTAAGGAACTGCCTCCTACCCTTGGGGGTGGGGGGGGGAGGGCTGGAGGGCTGGAGGGCTGGAGGGCTGGAGGGCTGGAGGGCTGGAGGGCTGGAGGGCTGGAGGGCTGGAGGGCTGGAGGGCTGGAGGGCTGGAGGGCTGGAGGGCTGGAGGGCTGGAGGGCTGGAGGGCTGGGTGGCTGGGTGGCTGGGTGGGGGCGTTTGTAATCCTAAGCCGAAAATCAGCCACTAGCCCCCTGCCTTGGAGATCCGTGACTTTCGCACATGGAAGCAGACAGGGAAACTCAGGAGCTTGATGGGCAACAGATTTGTTTCGCATTTTGAGGGGTCTGATTTGTTGAGCAACACCCAGAACCCTTTGGCTGGCACGTAATGAACAAATTCCTTCAAGGGCTGCATGGGATACAGGCCGCCGCCCTTTCAGATTTCCCCCTACAGTATGGGAAGGACAGTCAGAGTGGAGAAGAAGACCCTCCCAAACCCAAGGCCTATCTTCTCCATTGCGAGCTTTCAGGGTCATGGCCAGGAGTTTCCACGGCGTTTGTGGGGTTGGGCGGTGCAGTGTTGCGAGGCGAAGATCAAGGTGACGCATTTGCACAACAAGCCTGGAAAGGCCGCTCGGCGCTTTAAAGCGGCCCCATTCTGCTTTTTCAAGGGGGTCCAGCAGATGCAGTCACTTGAATAAGGGCGAACAAATCGACATGTAAAACCCAGAAATTCAAATCGGTCATAAATGGTGGGATTTCTGGAGTTACTGGGGTGGAGGTGCTGAAAACCTTTGCAACCTGATGAACGCTGGCTTGGCAATGCTACAGAAAGTTGTTGTTTTTGGTTGTGCGGGTTTCATCTCCGGTAAGCCCTTTGAAATGACCACAGACGGGTCGGAATCGATTATGCTTGCACGAACACGAATGCAAAGCCAAGTTACCGGTAAGCTTTGCTTTTGGTTTCGGCGGTCAACATCTGTGTCGCCTAACCCTCTGGGAGCTCGTTTCCGCGTTCATGACATGGCCTACCTCGTTTCTGTTCAATGGACAAAGACCCAGCAGCTACCTGCTTTATTTCATAGGGTTTCAGCCCAACTGTACGACTTCATACCCATGATGGAAGGGTGGGTATGATCACCTGCATCCTCTTCCTTGTGCTTATTTCGGAGTGGTACTGGCCTTGGCCTTTGGCATGGAAAGCAAGGTAGATCACTCTTTCTGCACTCAAAAAGGCCACAACCCAATTTAGATTGACTCGAGTTCCTGTCTTATACTGGGTTGCCTGCATTCCCCCTAAGCTCTCCGATGAAGATTGCTTACCATTTAACACTTGTGGTGACTCTGTGTGGGGAGATGAGTCTGATTGCAGAAGAGAGCAACACGCCCTCGTCAATGACTGGTGCTGTTGCATCGACGGCACTGGCGTTTTTGCGATCAAGTCTTTCTGAAGTGAACAGAGCAGATTAAACATGCATGTCAATGTATATTTATATGGGTTTAGGTTGGGGCTCTGTTTGTTTCCATTTGCTGTGCCTTTGAGCCAGGCTGAAAAAGGTGCCCTCAGAAACGCAGACACACGCAGCGACACCTCCGCACACGCACACACGCACACCCATATCATAACATCAGATGTCTTGGCAAATGGCGACCTTAGCTTTCGACCGGCTCGGGGGTTCCTTGTTTCAAGTGCATCGAACGTCATTGAAGCCGGCTAAGCCATGGCCATGAAACAGAAGTTCATTCACACCATGCCCACCATGAACCAGAATTCATTTATAGCCATAGCCACCATGTTCCCACCGGAAATTCATTCACACCGCCTGCCACCAGTCCGGCGTGGCCTTTTCTGCCTTGAGAGGCCCAAGCGTTCAGGTGTGCTTTTTGGTTGGTTTGGGTAGAAAAACCGATGGTAGATGGTAGATGGCCCTGGTTTCCCTGGTGGTTTCATCATCTACCAGGGAAACGCATCGATTTCCCCTACGCCTATGGCCCCAGGCCTACTCCAAGTACTTCCAGGACCCCGCGGTTCGGAGCTCAGCTCGCGGCGTTTTTTTTTTTTTTTTTTTTTTTTTTTTTTTTTTTTTTTTTTTTTTTTTTTTTTTTTTTTTTTTTTTTTTTTTTTTTTTTTTTTTTTTTTTTTTTTTTTTTTTTTTTTTTTTTCGCGCGCGCAGCGGCGCAGCGAGAGGAAGGGCCTGGAAGTCGCAGACCTGTGGATGGACGCGGAATCCATTTCGCGCCACCGTTCAGAAACCCGGGTTTCTGATTCCCCGGGAAATTCCAAGGAATGGTTTCCCACTACCAACCGCGGAGTTGTGCCAAGGTCATGCTATTCTAGTGGATGGGATTCCGTGCCGCCAGTTGCTTCGGGTAGGGGAACATTAGGAGACCAAAGGCCCTGGCTGCACTTCCGCTGGTGACAAGTGAGTGTTGTGCAAGTGTTCGGTGATTTGGCGAACACAAAGCTCCGGACAGTTGGATTGGTGCATATGGATGCCCCACATATTCTGAATATGCTGGAAAGGGTGTGTTTTGCTTACTCGGAATTGTTTTCGTTTGTTTTGCGTGCCTGTCCTTTCATGTGCCTGTGCAAGCCCACACGCATTTGTGCGCAAGGCGAACGACATTCTGGCACCCCACTTCCCAAGAGCCCTGACTGGGCCAGTAGGCCGCTGAGGATGGAACCTACACCATGCTGGCAGGCACTAAGATGATTGACGGCAAGGTGTACAAGACCTGGACAGCATTCGGCCTTCAAGCCCTTTTCAGGGTTGAAGTAAAGGCAACCGAAGGGTTCAACCCAATTCTGTCTTAAAAGCTGTGGGATATCAGAAAGGCCTGGCCCCTGTGGAAAACTGGTTGCACCCCTTTATGCTTCTTGGGGGTGGCTCTAGCCTCGGCCAGCCGTTTTGCAAGTGATGGTGATGTCAGGACTGAAGAGTTGGTGAAGTCGGCGGGTGTCACTGCGTACCTCAGCACCTGGGCGAGAGGGCGTTGATTCTCGTGACTCCGCCTCTCCAGACCCCCATCAGAACAGCTTGCCCACAAGTCTCAGTGTTAAACAACACATAATGGTTGGCAAAAAACCCACCGATCGGGGGTAAACCGAGGTCAAGGATGAAGGTCCCCAATGGTGTCCTCAATTCAAGTTGGTGATGTGTTTGCGGTAAGTGCGGCCAAGTTTTCGCAGGGGTTTCTGTTTTCTCTCCGTGCTCCGTGAAGATTTCCTCATGTTTCGCTGGGATCTGAGGTGAATATGCCATGCACCCCTTCCAGCGAGAGCTGCGGTTGAAGAAGGGCGGCATTCAGGCCTTGCCACCCGCGCTGACGAAAATAAAAATGTTTTTTTTTTGAGGGTACCCTTTTCAGCTTGGTTTGGAACCACCATTTTAGGTGTCCCCCGATTTGACATATTGTGCCCAAACGGGGCATGCCTTTTTTGAGTGTAGCCCCTTGTTTGTTCGCCTTCACAAACTTGGGATGGTTCAAAAACTGTGCGAACAGGGACAACGGACACTGTTTCAACGGGAGCTCTTTGTTGGGGTCTCTTTTTTTGTGAGGGGGGGAGAGGAGTGTTTTTTTTGAGACAAATCGCATTCGCAAGCTTTCCCTGGGACCCTTTTTGGAGTCATTGCCTTCAGAGGGGGTTTGCCTACAAAGGGTCAAACACCCAAATGGTTATTTTCCCCATTCCAGGGTAAGGGAGGTTTGACGAAATTGGTTTGTCTCTACATTGATGGAACCCTGGAGTCGCAGTTTCCCCAAGTTTCTGCATCAGAGGTGTGCAGTTGCTGATTGGGGTTCCCAAATCATGGGGTCTCACTCTCAAACCTGCTGCCGCCAGCGTGCAGTGTGCTGGTTCTCTAGAGCTGAGAGCCGTCAGGGGCCTATGTATCCACTACAGGGTTTCGGGATCAAGGCAAGGGGTTTATTTTCAGTTCTGTGATGCAAGGGAATCTCCTCTTTGGGAAGGAGGACAACACTGCGTGGCAAAGTTTTGCCAGGTTGCCTTGGGCTGGTTTAGGGTTGGTTTAAGGTGGGCTTATTTGGGATGGTTCTGTGCTGATTTTGCGGAGGCTTAGGGTTGGTTTAGGGTGGGGCCAGGGTGGGTTTCACGATTGGCTTCGGGTGGTTGGGGGTTTAGGATTGGTTTCGGGTAGGTTTAGAGTTGGGGGGGGTAGTCATTGCTGGTTTAGAGTGGGTTAGCTTAGGTTTCTTTAGTGGGCTAGCTTAGTCATTGCTGTAGGCTTTATATTGCCCCAAGATGTCGTCTTTGTATTGGCGTGTTTTCAGACCATCCCGGCGACATGCTCATATGGGTGTGGCTCAAAATAAAACTGCTGGGGTCATGCCGGTTGCCTACCTTTCCATTTGGGGTTCCATGTTGGACTCTGTTTGAGCCACATATAATCTGTAAGCTGAATAGCTCGGGGTTCGTGTCTCCGTGCCGTCCAGGCGCGCATCGAGGCCATGGGCTCCGTGGGCTATCGCTGCTTCATGGAGGCGCCTCAGCAGTCCGCGTGCCCTGGCGAAGCGAAGTCCGCGGGACCTCAAAGCGGACCTTTGATTTGGCGGGTCCAAAACATCGGTTAGCAGCGAACATCCCAATCCCCACTAAGAATAGGTTCTAAAATGGGTGGTGAATTCACCTACCAAAATGGGATCCCCTTGGTTTTGAACCATGGCCATTTGGCAGCGCGGATGGTTCAGCACGGCTCGCAGGAAGCCATGTTATCTCAGAAGATTCTGCAGATAGCACCTCGCGAATATGACATGTAACTTCCTGCTCAAGATGACGTACCCGCGGAGTCCGCAAGAGCATCTCGCTTTCCCGGTGCGATCTACATGTCCGTTCATCCCAGGCTTCCAAATGGAACCCGAACCCGGAGTCCCGGAGTGAATGCTTGCGGGTGATCAGCACCCGGAGGAAGTCAGCTCTATCGCGCCGGGCGGCGGAGACCCCATGTCTGTATGACTTGGGAGCCCATGTGTTGGCTTGTTGGAAAAGCCCTGTTAATGTCGCCGGATGGATGTGCTGTCAAATGCCTCAATCAGAATGTTGTAAATGAGCTTGAGGGTCTTGGTGTTGAAAGGATAAATGTGCTGAGATCTCGGTTGCGTGGTTCTGGGGATGTACACAGTCGGCGTTGGTCATGAGTTACACTCTAGAAAATCGGGAACCAGGTGAGCTCAGTGGGAATGTGTTGCTTTTTCACCCCAATGGATGAACGCTGGGTTTGCAGGGTTTGCTTAAAGGTGAGCTTCAAAAGTGGGCACAGGGAAAGCGACCTTGGTTTGCCTCTGGCAACGTGGCGACATCCAACTCTATGTCTCTCCCTTCCGACGCTCCCGACCCTCCCAACCATTCTTGCCTCCCTCCCTGGCCTTTGCGCGCGCTGACAGGGACATCCTACAAATATACCGGCTACGAACACTGATTTGAGAAGCTTCAGAATACCACTGGGGCCCATAATCCACAAAGGGGTCTTCAAACAGGGGCACCTATGAATCATCCAGGGCTATCTGAGTTCTGGGCAACCATTTGTTTGACTCGTGTTCTGGCGCTTATTCCCGGCCAATGGGCGGTGATGCGTTGTCCCTTAGCACAGCCGCCTTTCAGGATCTCCGCCGCGGGTGCGGCCAGCACTCCGCCGACCATGGAGTTCCGCGGGGTGGTGGTGGAGAACGGCACCGTGCTGCGCCAGTGGAGGTCAGGGTCGGCCGGGCGGTGGGCGGGCCGGAAGTTGAGTGAAGCCGCACAAGAAGGGAAGGGTGCCGCTGAAAGCCCTTATTTTTTTTGGGAAGACGCTGTTTGCGGGAGCGACGAAAGACAAAGGAGGAAAGGGTCGACTCCCCAAGCGGAAGGAGCTCGAACAGGGTCCGCAAGGAGTTTCTTCTTTCAACGGTTTTGTGTGTTGGGTTCTACGTTTATCAGCATACCGGAAACACGGGTGCCATTGGAAACGTGTGTCACATAGTGACGGCGACTGCTTTGCAGGGTAATTGGACAATTGCAAGCATTAAGCCATGACTCAAATAAAGCTGATGGCAATGTTTTTCAAGGCTATCCCTTATGTTATGTTCGAAACACAACACACAACTGAAAAGTTAAGCCCTTGCGAGACGTTGAGTTGCCTGGCGCCCAGTAGCTGCTCAAATGTGGGACGCATTTGCGCTGGCGAGCAACCACGGAGTAAAATAACACGATGTCCGGGATAAAGGTTCCTTAGGGATTCCTTGTTAGGATGTGTGACACATGGTTTGTTTTCCAAAAGGGGCAACCCTGAAAAGGGTGGTTGCCATTTAGTCCTCGTCAACCACCCCCAGAAAAGGGTACCCTCCTAACAAAACACCCATATGCAAGTGGAGATACATGAGAATGGCTAATATCATTGTTTCCGAGCCCTTTGCTGAAAAGGACTCCAGGATTCGTCTTTGGTTCTCAGCCACATGCAATAGCTGCTAAGTCTGGCAATCGAACTGCATAGACCTTTCTAGGCTCCAGAGGCAAGTCACCCATTGATCTTGTTTCAGTGAAAGGTCCCTTGCTTCGTGCATCGTAAGTCGCACAGATAGGCGGTTCTTTGTCTTTTACTTTAGAGCCTCCGGCTCAGTCCGCCGACATTGTCCTCTCCCTTGTCTCCTTCTTTCTCTCTCTCTCTTGTCTCCTCCCCCGTGTGTTCTGTCGTCCTCTCTCCCTCCCTCTGCTCCCCATCCTCCCCATCCCCCCAAGCCTCTCTCTCCTCAATCTCCCTCTCGCTGTCTCTCTCTCTCTCTCTCTCTCTCTCTCTCTCTTTGTCTTTCTGTGTCTCTCTCTCTCTCTCTCTCTCTCTGTCTCTCTCTCTCTCTCTCTCTCTCTCTCTCTCTCTCTCTCTCTCTCTCTCTCTCTCTCTCTCTCTCTCTCTCTCTCTCTCTCTCTCTCTCTGTATTGCAGCGTCAACGTCCCCCCTGAGTTGCCTCGATGTCCGGGCTCTGCCCCTTCATGACCCTGAACTGTCTGCTTACTACTGGCTTCCCCCTTGATTTCCCCGTCATGTCCTTTTCACGTTTCCCATGATGTCCTGGTCATGTCCCTTCCAGTCCTTTCAACTCCCCCTTCATGTCCCTGTCATTTTCTCGGTATGTCCACTTCATTTTCCATGTATGTCCCGTTCTTTCGTTGCGAGTCATTTCCCTACATCTCCCGTCGTGCCGATTGGTTTCCTTGTCCTTTGTTTCCCTTTCATTCCCCTGCACTCCCCTTGTTTCCATTTCTGTCCCTTTCATGTCCATTTCAGTTCCCTTTGTTTCCCTACCATTTCCCCTTGCTTTCCTGTCATGTGGACGTCCTGTTTCCTCCCCTCATTTCCTTGCACTTCCTTGCATTTCCCCTTTGCTCCCCAGTATTTCCCGCACAAAACACGGTTTTTTTCCAGCATTTTCGCAAAGAGGACGTCAAAAAACACAGTTTTTCCAGATTTTCGGCAAAAGGAGGCAGGAAACCCAAACCAGCAAAGAGCCGGCAGGAGGATTCGAGCCTGGGAGTCCCCGAAAACTACGTTTAGTGGAGCGTCATCAAATTACCGCGCGGTACGTGGGGACCCCCCTCCCCCCCTAAACCCTACGTATCAGACGTCTGGGAGGGGGGGGTTATCCTCTGCAATGTCGGCGGATTTATCCACCGGGGAAGTAGCGTGATCATGGCAAAGACTAAGACTCCTTGAAGATGGGGAGTGCGCAGTTCGGCGCAATTCACCTATGTTGTTTTCATCTTCCCGCTTACTTGCCATCAAACACATTCAGTTAGCCCATGATTTTTTTATACCCCGGTGCGCACATGTAACCAGCAATGACGTCGGGGTCATGGGATCTTGACCACTCCAGGTCACTTTCTAGCGGCGGTGTTTGAACCACTGGCCAAGTGAGCCGTTGCAGAAGTATTTTCGCGGAAGTAGCTGTTACTTTTGGGGCAGCCCCCTCAAGCAACTGGAGTCACACCCCCTAGAAAAAGAAGCGTGAAGCATGTTGCGGGGTGGCATTTTTGGGGGCACAGGCGGGAGAAGTCAACCGGCCCAAAGCATGGCTAGTTTTTGGTGTGACCAAATCGGCCTTTAGACCTTGTGGAAACAGACTTAAATGGCTTTCACGTTACACCTACCAAGCTTGACCGGTTCCGGCCGTCCCCCCTTAGGGTTTAGCTTTTTAGGGTTTAGTGGCACAAGTAGTTGCCACTTCGCCCAGTGACAGTCAATCTTGCAGCAGAGGATCTGAGGACACCCAGAAAAGGTGATCGAGAGGAAACCAGAAACCGGACCAGGCTGGACCCCATGGGAGACATGGAGAATTCTGGCAACCTGGACGTGCCTCGGAGCTGGCGCGGATATATCCTCCACAGCGAAAATCACAGAAACCCAAAAGGGCAACAGGGCAACAAGGTGAGTTTTTTTTGAGCCCCCGGGGAGGGCCGGTTGAGAGGCTGAAGACCATTTGCGGTTGCCATGCGACCGCAGAGCAAACGATTGAATGGGCTGCGGGGTGATGAAATCTCCCAGGGATGCTTTGAACTAACATGACGCCGACCCATTGCAGCCGATGAAGGGTGACGGACAAATCGGTCGCCGCGCTTGCCCATAAAGAACTGTATAGCTGCGCAGCTGAGTATTGAAACTTTGGCGCATTTGGATGTTAGGATTTTGACTTTTTGCCAACTAAAGCAGGGATTCGCAGAAAGCAACCGAGGCGTGTAAGCATTGCACGACTTTTTAGTGGTAGCCTATGGCTAATTGGAGGTGAACATGGAGGGCCCGCACATTTCCCACAAATTCCGGGCGCCCAAGAAAGCAACCAAGGAAAATTGAACCTGACAAATCCCTGTTTTTTTTGGGTTTGGTTTTGGTGTTTATTGACAAATCCTTGCCAAGGAAAGTGGTGTTTGATTTTTTGCGCGGCTCAGTCTGCGGAGACCACCATTGCCATGATGGAGGCAGGAATGATTCCCAACCGCGTGGACTACTACGACGTGGACACCGACCCCACTGGGCGATTCGTGCCCCGGATGCCGAGTTGGGTATGGGTCAAAATTAAACCACCTGGAATTGGACCAGGTTTTTAAAACTCCAAGTTTCCACTTACTAGGGTTCCATTTGGGGTACCTATTTTTGACCCACAGCCATTTGGGTAGTCTTTTGTGGAATTGAAGGTCTCTTTGGGGCATTTGCCCGTTTTGGGCGATTTCTCCCTTCCTTGAGACATACCAAATATTATGATTATAGGAGCATGACAGCCTTGTGACCCCTTTGGGAACGGATGGACATCCCTCCAAGAGCGTTTCGATAATTTCAGGGTCCGCAAAAATGTCTGTCGAAACCGTTTCACCCAGGAAGCAAAAGGAAGGGTGAAGACATGAAACCAGAGGCCTGGCTTCAAATTACCTTCCTAAGAATGAGCAGCAGTTACCTGACAGGAAGATCCTGCTTTCGGACCACCCCTTTTCGTTTGCGTCAAGTCGCTGGTCCCTGGATTTTCTGTCGGATTCAGGGAAATTTATTTGGTCGTCATCTTGGGTGGCACTTGCTGTGGTTTCTGCCACTGAAACGGCTCCAACTACCCTTTAGCGGGGTTGCTCCCTTGTGCGTTTGTTTGCTCGCTCTCTTGCCTGCTTGCTTGCTTGCTTGCTTGCTTGCTTGCTTGCTTGCGTGCGTGCGTGCGTGCGTGCGTGCGTGCTTGCTTGCTTGCTTGCTTGCTTGCTTGCTTGCTTGCTTGCTGGTTGGTTAGTTGGTTGGTCTAGCTGGCCTGTTGGTTGGTTGCTTTGTTTGTATGCTTGTTGTTGTTTGATTAGTTTTGTTTTTGTTTCTTGATTGATTGCTCGCCTGGTTAATTGTTGCTTTGCGCCCAGGAAGTAGACTTTTAATCCAAAAGGTGACAGGGAGATCTCCAGCCGTGACGGCTCGTTCACCTCTGGACCTTGCGATTCGGTTGCTTGGCCAACCGATAGAAGAACAATTCATCCCTAACACACACACACACCTTACGGATCCCATTTACCGAGATGTTTTCCTCTTCAAGATTTCCTTTGTGGCTTGAAATCACAGGGCCTGTGTTGCATTTGTTTGTTCTGCTGCTCTTTGTCCTTTCTGTTATTGTGTATGTTTTCAGTTTTCCGTTCTGTCCTGGTTTCTTGCTCCGTGAGAGTCACACATGCGCGCCCGCACCAGGCTTCAGGCCAGCCATATCGCATCCACATGTACTCCACGGCTGCTCGGAATCAAGCAAAGCCAGTCACAGTGATGGACCAGCGATGGAGGTAAAACAAGATTTTCAGGGGCCCCATAGTGAACCGTCCCTTATGGATGCCTCATCCTAAATTCCGGTTGCTTAGATATTCTACTTGCAGATCAGGGTTCCAAATCGGCGGGGTTCCAATTCGGGTGGGGATAGCAAGGCACCGGACCGAGGTGCTGGAAAGAAAGCCACAACCTTCGGTATTCTTCAAGGCCGCCTCAAATTTATTCAAGCCTTAAAGTGGTAATCAGAACGCAGTATCCAATCAGCTCCTCATCAAAGATACCAGGATTCTATAGTTAAACTTGCTGTTGCAATCGTTTTCCAAAGGCAAGCACTGCAACAACCTCAACGTTCGATACTTCAATTGCACCCCAAGCATTGCTTAGAAAGTTTTTGCGGTATCTGGCAAGCTTAGGAAAGTCAGGGTTTACATTGCATCTTGAGGTGGTTCACTTTTGGTTGTATACTTACGCTGTATCAACAAGGAGACTGAAGCTAAAAGGTTAAGCAAAACAATCAGACTCAAACCGTCGCAGATGTACTGTGTGCGGGGGTCATGGCATGTTGTTTGCTTGAGTTTGGCTACTTTCACCTAGCGAGGCAGATTCAAGCAGTGTTACTTCTGGGCAGGCATCGGAGGATACCTCACGATGAAGGCCCTTTTTTGGCAGATGAGAGGTGCCACATCTCTTGTCCTATTGGGAATGGTTTTGCTAGCACGTATTCCCAGATGAGCAAAATATTCATCCACATTGGCCATTGGAACGGGGCATACTTACCGACTGCGAGCTATCTGGGCACGTTGTTTGTTTACGTGTTGTTTCCTTTTGTGAGACAGCGTTTGAGTGTTTGGTTGACTAAAACCGACAGTTCCTTGCTCAGGGATCGTTTTGCATCATTGGGATGTGGCAAGAAGAAGTTGGGCTCATTGTCCAGGAACGGTGAAAGCACACCCCCATTTGCAACGGTTCAGCTGGATGCACATAAAAGTACTCTTTTGCCTGATGCAGTCTATACATGTCTATACCGACTTGCTTCTTTGGTTCTTTGAATCGGATTTCTCATCGTTTGTTGTCTCGAAGGAAACAATGTTAGTTCGAGGTCCTCCGGCAAAGTGTTGCCTCAATTTGCATCATAGTTGCTAGTGAGCCATCCATGGAGTGTGAATGGCTTTCTGCGACGAAAACATCCAGCTTCAACCTCCACGCAGTCAACAGGGAGTAACATGACTTCAGGCCACCCATGTCAAGTTATAGTAAGCAGCTGCATAGGACACCAGGAGTGGTGGGAAAATCGAGGGCCGCTCTCTGTACCAAGGGAACCCTCCTCAAAGTGATCAAGAGATGGCTTATTTTGGGATCAGAAATGCGGATAATTTTGTGTGAAGAAGCTCAGGCTAATGGATGTTTCTCTCTGGGTAGTGGGGCAAACCAGTGACATGGATTCTGATTCCAAAACCCAGGGATCAGTGCCCTCGTTCTGTTCCAAACCGCGGCCCTGGCCAAGTCTTGGTCAAACCACGGCTCGGTTTGCAGGTCTGCAGTTTGGGTGGTGTTGGAAGCCGTCGCTGCGAGGGAAACCACAATTTTGCTTGACAGGAGTCGTGTGGGCATTTCGTTGACATTACTTGTCCAGCTCGTTTCTCAGGAATGCCAGCTTCTGGGATCCATTTATGGCTTCATCCCCCGCCCAAGACCCATGTTCATGGATGGAGTTATGTTACATGCCCACACACACACACACACACACACATGCACACGCCCTCTGACACGAGATGAACAAGTATGGAGACGTGGAACCGTGGGACAACGGCCAAAAAGATCCCTTTTAAGGGAATATGCGAAGAATTTCCACCCCCATGATGTACTTTGCGCGCAGCTTAGGCGATCGCCACAAAAACTGTTCAACGTATTATAGATAATTTCATGGAGCAGTGTAAATGGCACAGCATGGCAAACATGATTATTGTTGAATTGATTATGAGATCATGAACCAGCCACTTTGTTGTTTCTTTTTTGTTTTATGGATTGTCAGTGAAATGATTTGGGGTGCAATCTGCGGGATAATCACGTTCGCTTTTTTTGGCAGCTTGCCTTTTCCGTCAAACACTTCCGCAAAGACCTAGGGCGGGCTGTACTATATATTGGATTGACCATGGAGAACTTGTGTACTTGACTCTCGTGTATTTGTTGTGTGCTTGCCTCCCACTTAGCTCCAGCGAAACGAGCGCACAAACACGCAGACACTGCAAACTGCAGACACTACACGACACAGAGAGAGAGAGAGAGAGAGAGCGAGATAGAGAGACAACACAGCAACACGCGCGTCCGCAACACGAACAGAGTCACATAATCTTACACACACACACACACACACACGCACACAACCGTGAAGACATGTCATTTGTTTGCATAGCCATGCTTGTAGCAACCAAGAGCTTGCCGCGAATGTGTTGGTGGCTTCCTGTTCTGCAACTTCTAGCTGTTGATATTTGCTCTCCATGTCTTTCACTTGAACTTTGCCACAAAACGCTGACGGAACTGTGTACCTGATTTGTGCGATGGGTCAGTATCAAGGGCGAAGTGGATACCACCCATAAGATGAGTCTGTTGGTCTGCTAGTGTTATAGGCCAGGTTGGTTGACTCCATACAAAAGGTAAACAGACCGGTTGTCTATGCTGATAGCTGGAATTGAGGGTCCCTAAACTGCGAGACGCGCTTGACGGTGTTTCAAGGGGAACTATCGACGCCCTTCCGGCGTCAACTGACTGAGATAGTTTTTTTGCTCGCTGAGATTCCTCGTCCGATGTTTGCACCCAGAGATTCTGGATGAGGGCAGTGGGCCATGAAGTCAGAGCACGCGTCGAGTGTCCTTCAGCTTTGGAATCAGGTCTCGGGCTCAAAGGTGGACACGGTGAAGCAGTGCGCGGAACGAGCGGCTTGCGGAGCGGGCGGAATGAATTCGGGGGAAGACCCGCTACCTTTGTGAATATTTGATGTGTTGCCGTTCTCACTGGTGTGAAAGGGAGCTGGCCAATGAACATGGCAGCACATTGACATGGAAGCCATAATTTCTTTGCCCACCAACAAATAAGCAATTTGTCCGGGTGCCATAGCCGTAGCACACACCATGTCCCACCCGCAGGCAAACCGCAAGCTGAAGGATACGTTGTTTTTGTCCAAGTGCAACATAGTGCATGATGTTCTCGCAGAGCACGCCACTATGTTTGATTCTGGCCGGACCTCTATTGGCATGTGCAAGATGCAACATCTCCATCTGCAGCTCAGAAATATGGAAGGGAGGGCATGCCCCCAATTCAGGGACCCTTCCCCAAACAAAAATATCTGTGAGTATGTTTGAAATAATGCATGGAGATGAGGCGCCACGTGTTTCGCACACATGATCAGCATGCGCACGCTGGAAATTGCAACAAAGCCAGCCTAGAATAATTTGCAATGGCTTCGAATTTGCTTGTAGCTAAACAGAACAGAAAAAAAGAAGCCCGCTTTGGGGCCCTTGCACTTTTAGCGGCAGGTACGAATCCATCACGGCGCTGCCCTCTGTCTTCGAAGTGTCAGGGTGTGGATGCCCAGGCTTTACCGAGAGCTTGCCAAAACGTCTGAGCTGACGTCAGTCAACATGGATCGTTTGCACGGTTCTCTATCTTTTATGGGCAACAAGTACTTGGTATAATATATGTGTTGTTGAAGTATATTAGGGGAGTTACATTGGTTATTGAATATCTTTGGCAGAAAGGGATGTTGCGAGCGGTGGGTTTTCGAACAGACCTGTTTTGGAGGGTCTAAGGCAAAACGAAGAAGGCACCTTGATAGCTACAACATACAACAGCCTCTCAGGGGAAATCTACTAGAATCCAAACACCAAAGAAGACACGTAATCAAAATTCAGCCTCAAAACCAAAACAAGTGTTCGAGAAATCTATCAAGACAAGAAAGCAATGTCTGAGGGGAAATGTACTGAAACCAAACAACTTGAAATTAAATATTCTGGCTCAAAACCAAAAAGATACCTTGATTAAAAAAGAAACAAAACTATTCTCAGAGGACATGTACTGGACCTAAAACTTGAGACATCAAATATTAAGACTTAAAGCCAACAAAAACCTCGAGAGATGAAAAACAACAAAAGCAAAAATATCTCAGGGGACAGGTGAGGTCCACAGAAAAAAAAAAAAAAAAAAACATCCCCTGCGAGGTACTTTGTTTGTGTGTTTGTGTTTTGAGTCTGAATATTTCAGTCTGGAGTTGGTTTTTTGGTTTTTGAGTCTGTATACTTGATTATCAAGGTTATTTTCCCCCTGAGAGTTGTTTGTTCGATTTTGTTTATTTGTCTTTGAGTCTGAAAGTTTTGATGTCTCGCTTTTTTTGGGTTTGAGTGTGGATCTTCGACTTCTCGATGTTTTTGTTGGTCTTCGAGTCTTTCTGGAGTTGTTTGTTTCGGTTTGCTCGTGAGCGCATGGTGGTTTCAGGCATCTTCAAAATTATTGCTAGCACGTCTGCTAAAGCTAGCCTTGATTTTGTGACCAGAACCTGGGTTGGAACAAACTTCTTCAAACGGAGAACAAATCAAATCAAGGATTGGCTCGCCCCACCTCCCCCCAGAAAAAAATATACATATTGGTATTTTTGATTGCAGGGGAAGTTGTCATGAATACAACATTTCCCTCAAACAGTCCCCCATCAATCTTCATGGTTGCTTCGATTTGCTGCAAAATTATGAAAGCTATACAGCCTGCGCGCTGAAATCAAGCAACTGGGGGGCACCGTGGGGGGGGGGTTAGCATATGTATGTATGTATGTATATATATATATATACACACGCGTGTGTAGGCGTCAGCAAGATCAAGGAGACAGTGCGCACTGCGTGAACAAAACCGATTTAGCTTAGGGGGTAGGAATTCAGGCGGTGCTTCGCCTGGGGCGTTGGCTTCCTCAGTTTTTGCAGCACCCATGTTATTCCCACCGGGGGGCTAACCTTTGGAAGCGTCGGATTGGGAAGCCGGTAAAAATCACGCAAGTTAGGACCTCCATTTTGGGCAAAACGGTTAGGCCTGCAAATGTATTACTTAAAATGAGGGCTCCAAACCTGCGTAGTATTAAGGGAGGATAATTTTGGCGAAAGGAGTTGCGGTGACGGGCGCAGCGCTTTCGCAAGGCCAGGTGCAGATTTCGAGGCAGGCGCGGCGCTTTCGCAAGCTTAGGACTGATTTCCTGACAGATGGCAGGGCAGTACAAGGTCAGGCCGGGATTTCCTGGCAGGCGCAGCGCTATCAGAAGATGGAAAAATAGATAGCCGGATAGACAGATAGATAGACAGACAGACAGACAGACAGACAGATAGATAGCGAGATAATTAGCCAGATCACTAGACAACTAAATGAGATAGATGGATCGATAGATAGATTGACTGATTGATAGATAGGTAGATACACAGATGCACAGGTAGAAAGATAGATGAAGATAGCGTGGATTAGGTAGATCGATAGATATATAGAATGTGAGGTTAACTAGTTAGAAAGTGCAGATAGCTAGCTATAGATAGATAAGGGACCGCAGACCACCTCTGGCGCGACGCCAGTTTTGCGCGATCTGGACTAAGAGAAAGACAGGTTGACAGATAGCTAGCTTGACGAGTGGAAAGCTTGACAAGTAAATAGCCGAACAGATAACTTGACAGATGGCTAGCTTTACAGAAAGAAAGCTTGACAGATACATAGCCGAACAGATAGATAGCCCAACAGACACATAGCTTGACATAGCTTGACTCTGACAGATAGCTAGCTTGACAGAAAGGAAGCTTGACAGACAGATAGCCCAGCAGATTGACAGCCGGCCAGATAGATAGCTTGTAGCTGGACACATAGCTAGCTTCAGGCAGAGGCCTTGGCAGGTGGCTAGCTTGACAGACAGATGACAAAAACGCTGTTTGCCAACAGACAATGGGACACAAATGCGCTGCACAGGCGCAAGTGAGACAAACAAGCAGCAGGTTTCCATGACCATTTCAATGTTGCTGAGTGTGCCAAAGCATTAGCAAACGTTCTAGAGCAAGTATAAAATGAAGATTCCGATGTGTGCACATATATATATATATATATGTCTGTGAGGAACCATATCACAGTTCCAACTCGAAGCAACGGTTGCACGACGCAGCGATTCTGGGTTCGGGCATGCGCAAGAATGTAGATCAGTAGGGTGTCTGCTGTTGAACGTTCTTTACGCCCGACAGACTGCGTTTGAGCGCGTCGCGCTGGCGGACTTGCGTGCCGATGTGGGCGGCAATTGCATGTGGCAGCCATCATCTACGGCGTCGATGCAATTTGAGCTGGCTTTCTCTCTTGTACCTTCACTTCTCGAGTCTTACTTCTTCTCGAGTCTTACTTTTGGCGGGGGTAGGCCCGACGCGAGCTTACGAAACGAACCCCTCTGCGGCGATCGTGTGCGTCGGAGCGCTCTCGCTGTGATCCCGTGGGAATCTGTCTTGACCTCGCCGAACCCTCTCTGCGAAAATCGGGCGTGTCAGATCGCTCTGACTCTCGGTGGCGCCGTGCGAATTTCTCTTGGTCTCTGCGGGGATCGTGCGTGTCGGATCGCCCTCGTTGTAGCGCCGTGCGTGTGCCTTGAACGCGGCGAACCCTGTGCGGGGATCGTGCGTGCCGGATCGCCCTCGCTGTGGCGCCATGCGAATGTGCCTTGATCTCGTCGAACCCTCTGCGAAAAACCCGAATTGGACATCGCTTGAGGAATGTATGTCATCCGCTGAAGTCGCATCCGATGTGCTGACACACTTATGGATATACGTAGAAGCCATATACTGGAGATTACACAGAGGTACGTGGTGTCAGCGCACTTAGTACCCCCCCCTTGTCTGCAAGACTCCCACCAAAGCCAAAGCTAAGGGGCAAGGAGCTTCTACCCATTTTTTCGTGTCTCCACAAAACCCCACCCTGATTAAAGGTATCCCCCTGCAGACCACCAGTACTAAGTCACTACTGAATCCCTCACGTTTTCCCAAACATGTGCTTCCCCCGAAAAAAAACATATGTCTTCATGTCTTTGTGTCAATTGACATGGCGTTCAAACTCGCAAAGGGGACTTGGAGGCCAGCCCCCTCTCAGCCGCGAATAATCAATGCCCTTCTGGGCTCCAAACCCAAAAAACTGCTGTCCCTATTGCCCAGAAGGGGGCCAGAAGCAACAGAAGGAGAACCGAAGGGCGCTCCAGATTCATCAGGGGGTCCTCCAAAAAATCCAAATTTTGGGGGATTTGTCCAAATCTTGTCGACCTTGAAGGGGGGGGGTCAGGGGTAACCATTCTGCATGATCAGACTCAAAGAATTGGCATGCCACCAGTTCCCACCCGTCCTTGTTGAGTTGTTGAGCAGTTGAATAGGATGGACGCCAGCTGTTCTGTGAGTTTTTTGTTTTTCCTTTTCGACTGCTTTGTTGCTTAGGATGCTTGACTTTTTCAACGTTTCCAAGCTGGACACTGACGCTTGGCATTGACCGGGGGTGGGGGGCGATTCCTTTCTGTCCGTCATACCAGAGAGCCGTACCCCTCCTTCAAATGCGGAATTCGAGAAGGCTGTTTTCCCAGTGATACTTATCACAGCAGCGGAATGCACATCCTGTGCACCTGTTTGCTTGGGGTTGACTCGGTATTGACTTGGTGCCACCTGTGTTTGTCCTTTTCTCCGGCTGTCGAATCGCTTGGAGACATCTGACGGTAGACATGAGGACGGAGCTGAAAGGTTGCGCTTGCTTGCCCGGGAAGGGGGCATGGGGCAATCGATTGGTTTCAGGGTACACCCGTGATATTAGCTACAAGCCAAGCCATACATGAACCACATCCCTTGCAGGTTCTTCAGAATGGGGAGGTATCGGCCGCTCACGCAACAAGTTTCCGTCCATGAATTGCTTTTCAGGGCCCGCTCCCAGGCTGTTCAGAGGGGAAACTGCATTTGCAGGGATGTTGCATACCCCATACACCCGAAAGTTTCCTATCCCTAAGCTTTGCAATCGAGAACACCTACCCCAGAGGTACCGCAATTGAGCCTTTGTTGGCCGCAATGCTGCAACTTCAAGGCCCTTTCACGGAACACGTTCCGCGAACGAAAACTGTGGGGTCATTGCCCAGAGAGTTCCGCAAGGTTGGGGGAATTCCATTGGGCAGCTGGATAGGGTTCTGCAGGATAGTGGGGTTCCATGGAGCATTGGCTGGATTGAATTCCGCTGGATGATAGGGAACGGTTCCAGGGGTTGCTATGAGTACCTACGAGTCAGGGATATTGAGACCCTTCTGAATAAATAGAGGGTGCTTCTGTTCACCGTGTTTTGAACTGTGCTGTTGCCATGTTTTCCTGGTTTTCAAGATATCTATGTATGAGTCTCTAGATTTAGACGGAAAGGTCAAGTTCACTGCTTTGATCAACTGTCTCTGTTTTCGCGGGCCATTGATGGCATGGATTGAGATGTTTCTGTGAGCCGGGGCCTTTGGCCCTTGCCACGTTATTTCATTACGTTTTTCCAAGCCAACAAGCTCGTTTTAGAGATTTGCAGGGGACCGCGGGTTTTAGTCTTGCAATTCACCAGGCTTCCATTTTCCTAACCTTTCGCCGAAACAAATCAACCAAGTTCCCAAAGACGGGCCGCTGGAAAACAAATTCGGGTCCAGGAATGCAAATTCGCGAAGGAGTTGGCGGCCACTCGGCTTGGGATTGCAGCTTCGGGGCTTGTTGGTTTGCCCTTCGAAGCACACAGGTCTCTCAAAATAGGTGACCCCTCCTGTAGGACAAAAATCATTTCGCACCACCTGAAAAACCATGGTTGCAACCATTGTTTGTTGGTATTTACATGGGAATCTTAGGGGGTGCAGTTCGTCCATCCACAGTACCAATCTGGGGTCTCCTCCAAGATTGAGCTGTATTTTAGACAAAAAATACAAGATAGTTAAAATATGTTGTAGTACTTGTGTGCACCAGATGGCCATGAAATGGGTGGTTTTCTTGTGGTGTCCCTTATAAACCATCCAGGAAGATTCCCCCACGTGCCAACACCACAACAAGGTTCAGCGCAAAGAAGCAATATTGTGCACAACAAAAGCAATTAAATTCATAATACACAGCAGAAACATCCACAGCGGCAGGAGCAGCAGCAAAAACCACCAACCCGCCACCGCCACCGCTACCAACAAGAGCAGCACCAGATAACAACAAGAATAAGACTATGGAGAAACACCAAACACCTGAATATTCTGGGGCTTGAAGGTTTCCTGCCGTGAAGCTCGTGCTTTTTCAGATGTCGAAGTACATGTTGCAGCTTGGTGTTGCTTTGCCAACCACCCTACGTGGTACCATTTACCCTGGGAATTCCTCTTACTATTTACCCTGGGAACTGGTCACTTCAAGTTGTTTTGCCACTCTTGGTAGCCGACTGAGCTTGGGATAGTATGCGGCCTCCATTCGAAAATTGGACGGAGGTTTTCAGTCGATGAACTGTGATTGTGTTTGTTCCAAAACGCCTATACTGACCGACTTAGAAAATGCGGTCTGCCGTTGTTTTTTGGGTGAAAATCATAGTGAGCAAATGCAAGACCTTTTTTGAGCTTGCTGTTCGAAGCAAATATTAAATGGGAATGTTGTTCAAGTTGTTTTCCTGTTTGGGCTGCCCCAGAAATTCCACTCGATGGGTGTCATGCTCAGGCGGGAAATTCCTCCAACGCCACAAATACGAGCCAGCTTGACTTTGAGCACGCCGTGATGCTCGCAGAGGAGGCACAAGTTTGGATGGCTTTTGTCCAGACCCCTTGTGACCATGTCGCCCCAAAGGATCTTGTCACCTTTTTGCTTGCCCACGTTTGACCCATTTGGCTGTGGGTCAAAACCAATGGTACCATTTTGGGGTAGGCGAACCCCCCGTTTTAGTCTATTTTGGTGGGGATTGGGATGTTCATTGGGGGTACGATTTGTCTTTTGACCCATGGCCATTTCAGTCAGGTTCCAAACTGGGATTGGTGAGTGGATTGAGGGGATGGCGAGAGGCTGCCTGCCAGCCGGCATTCTATGAAGAAGAAACCGAGGAAGAACAAGCAGACAACTTGAAGAAATTGAAGACCATAGGACCATAGGACCATAGGAGGGCGTTTTTGGATTAGTTGGGTTGGAAATGGATGACACAGGTTGCAGGTTGGTTCTAGTCATTTTACCAGTGCCATCGATTTTAGCCGACTCTGCATTGCCTGTAGAGCTGTCCCATGTGTTGTATGCCCTCTGACATCCGTTGTGAGCAATCACTCAGCTTCACCAGCTGAGATTGTCGCATTTCGCCTGTTTCACTTGCATCCAGACCAATTCGAGACCTTCTTCACCTGCTTAGCTTAAGGAACCTCTTTAGCCGGTTCCCATGTTTGCTTTGTACTAGCAGTGCTTTGTACAGCCACCTTGTTTGTTGGTGTGTTTGGTTGTTTGGTTGATTGTGTGTTTGGTTGTTTATTTGTTTGATTGTTGGTTTGTTTGTTTGGTTGGTTGGTTGGTTTGTTTGTTTGGTTGGTTGGTTTGGTTGGTTGGTTTGGTTGGTTGGTTTGTTGGTGGTTTGCTTGTTTGTTTCTTTGCTTTGCTTTGCTTGTGTATATGTTTGTTTGTACTGTTTGTACTGTTTGTACTGTTTGTACTGTTTGTTTGTTTGTTTGTTTGTTTGTTTGTTTGTTTGTTTGTTTGTATGTGTCGTTTGTTTTGTTTGTTCCGCTGCATGCTCGATTGAGTGTTTGTTTGTTGTGTTGTATTGTGTTGTGTCGTTTTGTGTTGTGTTGGGTTGTGTCGTTTGTTTGTCAGTCTGTCTTGCTTGTTTTTTTTTTTTTTTGTTTTTTTTTGTTTGGTTGGTTGCTTGCTTGCTTGCTTGCTTGCTTGCTTGCTTGGTTGGCTTTTTTGTTGTAGAAGGAAGTGTTGTGGTGTATTGCTGTCGTTGTCGTTTCGTTGTTGTGTTTTTGGACTTTCAGTTGTTAGAATGAAGATTCGATTACCCAGCAGCCACGTAAACCAATAGCTTCCATGAAGAATGACATTCAGGACTGTCGGTCCTCTTTTTTGGAAAGACCTATTTATATATAGTGGCGGTTGATCAAACATTCCCGCTAGACGGTAGGAACAGGCTCCAAGAAACAGCCATGTTTTTTGGGGGGAATTGGTCGTGGGGGCCGTTTTGCGTCTGCCAACGTAGGTGTGCGCATTTGTGCTTACAATTCGGGAGATTCCACATTTTATGGCCACCTCACGTGAGAACACTTGTGTCTGATTGTTTTTCCGGAATGCCCGCTTGAGGATTAATGAATTTTACTTTTTGGACCATGTTTGATGTGCTGGCGCTGTTCAATGTAGGAGCCATGCATGGTTCGGCTTTGATGGGTGTCCCACCTTATAAGACTTGGAATACGTTTGGGACGACCCCGCGGATGTTTTGGCCGGAGTGGCGTCTTGTTGAAACAAGCTAGGAGGTTAGACTCGTGGGAAGGGGGATGGTCTCCTTTGCCGCACCTTGCTTGTGTATGCCCTGGGTGGTTCCTTTTGTTGATTCGGAACCCTTGAATGGTTTGTTATGGGAAGCCGAAAGGCAAACCGAAGTCCATTTTGGAAGGGTCCGTTTCTTTAAAAAGATAGACCCACTGATTGTTGCTGATGCAGGTTGCTCAAGTGGGCCTCTTCAATCGCAGCGTCACCGATCCTAACTTCAAACTGCCGCCGGCGGCTTGGCGGATAGGGCGCACCCGTCGACGCTTGAACGGGCTTGTGGGAATGAATTGGGAACCCTTTGCACACAGGGTGCCTCAGCGTTTGAGATCATGTGTGTTCCAAAGAAAGCATCCCCATTTTCCAGCCTCGCCAGGTGAAGCAAGCTTAAATGCTTGGAATCACTTGACAGTTTTTGGGGTGCCTGGAGTGGCCACTTGTGCCTTCTGTGTGCAAGTGAACTCCGAAGTGAGAAAAGAGTTGTTTGGGGGGCCAACATGTCCAACAGTTTCCCTGCGAAGTCGTTTTTTGTAACCTTGGATCTTGGATCCACCCTCGAAAGACCGTGGAGAGTGTTTCTCCGCCAAGATTTCCTGAAGAGTTTTTGTGCAACCTTGAATATTGGATCTTTGATCCAGTCAACAAACATCAAAGTGTTTCCCACAACCTAGAAGCGTTTTTGGTTTCCTGCATATGGAGGCCTTCCTGTTCGATCTAAGATTTGGCCGAGCGCAGGTCCATGGGTGGCAGTTCATATGTTTATACATACATACATACATATATATATATATATACATATATATATATATGTATATATATATATATATGTACATATTTGTCCAGCCCCCAAACCTTCTACGCCTCCCCACAACTCCCCTTTCTTGTGTGGAATGGTGGGGTTGGTTAGAGGTTGGAGTTGGTTGGAGTTGGTTTAGGGTTACTTTAGGGTTGGTTTTAAGCAAAGTTTAGGTTGCTTCAAGGTTCGTTTAGTTGTTGTGTCTCACCTGTCTGCCCTGTGGAGTGGTTGGCTTGCTCATGGTACTGGCAGGGTTTGGGGGATTCGGGGGAGTGGGGAAGGGGGTGGTGAGGGTAGGGAGGCTGAGGGCGAGACCATATTGTATATAGGGCCATGTGTTTTAAAGGGAACCACCTTGACATGACTGAATCCTGCCTGAATTTTTGTGTCCACCATTTTGGGTCCCAAGCATCATGCCCATGCAGCTCTTGGGGACTCGGGGATAATCGCAAAGCAGCCGACGGGTCGCTGAGGCATCGACCATTAAGCGAGAGAAAAGATGAGAAAGAGACTGTCCCCACCAGACAAGTAGTTTCGGATATCCATCCTTTTGTCTTTTTGTCAGTTGTTTTTTCTTTGCGTGGATCTCTTCAACACCACAATTTCTCATGATGACTTGAACAGGTGCAGCTCAAAATAGTGGACCCTTCCAACCCTCCAAACTGGGTGGTTTCGCTGGGACTTTCCGCGGGTTTTCCTTCAATTCAAGCCCAAGGGTACCTTTTAACGAGGTGTGGAATGCCAAGACCTTGGCCGTGGGCGTCAAATCCGCTCAGGAGATGCACCCGTGGGCCGAGTACAGCAGCGCGGTGATTTACAACTACGCAGCTCGGTGAACTGAGCCAACATCAAAAGCCTCACTTCCTCCCCAGAACTAGCTCCCCTTTTTGCGGTTTTGCTTTTTTGGGGTTTCCTTTGTTTTCCACTAACCAGGCAAAAAAGATATTGTTTTGCTGGGGTCCTAATTCCAGCCTAGACTTGAGCCACACCTGTTTTGACACAGCCAACCTTGAAGAAAAACCGCGGTTGGTTTGCTTCCTTAACCAATTATGCATCGGCCCCCGGTGTCCAATGGAGCCACAATGAAAACCCGGATAGATGAAGCTTGGTGAGGGAGAATCCCAACCATAAATGGCTGCGGCGGCCTTTCAATTCTTGCAGAATGGTCCTGGGTGGACCATTTTGATACCGGGCTTGGATGATGACTCACTTGTCCAAGGCGAATCGAGCCTTTGACCTTTTGGTTTCCCCTTTTGGGCCCTTTTTGAGTCGTGGCCCCAAAAGTCCTCTTTTGTTCAGGACCCTTTCCTGGGCTCTTCCAGGTTGGGAGGGTAACGTCAACTGGGGTTTCCCTTTAGACGACCACTTAGGGGTGATGGTGATGATATGTTTCTTACTGCCACAGTAAGACACCCGGGAGATGCCTGACATGAGGGACACCTTTTTGGATGGTTTACACAAGGAGAAAGCAAACTGGCCGCTTGGGGTCACATATCTTAGGCAACACCTGTCGCAGTAGTCTATGGGTTATTTTGGAGGGACATGGAGGATGTACAGAATCTTCCAAAAATCAGCAGCAATCATGAAGGTCCCCTAGTTTCGGATTCATTTTCAGGCTGGTGAACTCTCACAACTCCGCCAGGTGAGTCCGAACATTTGTTAGCGAAAGGCAAAAGGTGATCAACACTTGCTTGCAGCCCACGTTTCAGACATGTCCATGTCAAGATGTTCCACTTGGGTACTAACTTCAAGGAAAGCTCCGCCCGTTTGGCCAGCCGGATCGCTGCATTTATTTCTGGGGGCTCCTGAAGGCTCATCCCCGTTAACCGATCGCCAGAGAGCGATCGCTTTTTTGCACCGGGCCGGATCCGAGCCAAAACTTGGCTCCGCGGCTTGTTTTAGCGACGATTTTGGGTCTGTGGAAAGCACAAGTTGCTGGCCAAACAAGAAACGAGTAGCAAGGCAGCAACACCATTGAGGAAACGCGTTGTTCTTTGGGCCTTTCTGATTACTGATCTTTGCGATGTTTGTTTGTCCGTGGGAATCCCCAACATGACAAAGTCGCAGTCATGACACTCGCCACACAAAACAAACTGCGACTCTCGCGATGTGGCCATGGGTCAAAACCCCGGTCAGCCCCCAGTGAACATCCAAATCCCCACTAACATAGGCTCTAAAATGGGTGGCGAATTCACCTACCAACCAAAATGGTACCATTTGCACCTGCCCAAAAATGGGACCCCAAAACGGTTTTGACAACCACAGCCATGTGATTCCTTGACAAACGGGCGCCCGCGACTCTCGCCGTGGGCCCGAGGACAAGCTGAAGGCCCAGGCGGCCACCGGACAAACCTCCGACGCGCTCAAGTTGGCCAGGACGGCGGTGGGAGCGGCCATGCGGTTGGAGGGAGCTAAAAAACCACCCATTTCATGGCCATCTGTTGCACGCAAATTCTGCAGCATGTTCTGACTGTCTTGTACTGTTTGTCTTAAATACACCACAATCTTGGAGGAGAAAACCTGCAAAATACAAGATACAACATCCTCCAGGATTCTAGACAAAATACAAGACGGTCGGAACATACTGCGGTTGGACTTGGTACTGTGGATGGTTGCGAAATCCTGCATCGCACCTACTGGAATGATTCGATTCCCCTGTAAATACCAACAAAACTGCGGTTTCAACCATGGTTCAAAGTGATGCGAACGGATTTCGTTCATCCACAGTATGTCGGTCCTCTCGATACAACGGAGCCCTTCATTGGTTTGGAACGGCAACAACGGCGGAGTCCGTGTATTGGGAATCCGATCCTGGAAGTATGCGGGGCTGAATCATTAAATGCTGCTTCTATGATCCGTCATGCCGGTCCTACCAGGTCAAAATGCCAGCAGTCAATGTCCATGTGGGAATACATTACCGGGACTCACGCAACAAATCTCGCAGAAACCACTGGGACTCATGTATTGTCCCATGTCCTGTGGGGCAAGGTGTATGTTGACCGTGGCTGTGAATCATACTTGAATTGGGAGTCCACTTTTGATCGGGCATTGTAGGCAAAGTAAATGGACCGACCTGAAGTGTCCCCTTGTTTTAAAAATCATTGAGCGGTGCATTTTGAGTTAGCCTCAAAAGGTGCAACGAGGATATACAGGAACTGCGAAAGGGCGAGCGCCAAGATTAGCGAGGTCGGTTAGAACCCCGCTCCCGCTGCTGCCGCGGAAGTTACCCACCCACAAAACTTAATCCCCAACAAGCATCCCATGCGATCCCTGACGCGCCAGGGTTAGTTGAGCCTAGAAAACTCACTGTTCCCCAAATGGATCTCATTGCCTGCTTTCTTGGCTCAGTGACATTGCTTTTTTGCCCGTACACATGGAAGGGTACCTGTCGCATCAGCTTGGACCCCTTGTCCCCGACAGCAGGGATGGGAAACGGCTGTGTTGTGATCCAAGCGATGAGTTCGGGGGAATTCCTTAACTAGGTTCCCCAGTAGTTTTTCCCTTTCACCTTTTTTGCGGGAGGGTTCCCCTACTAAAATAGACTACAGAAAAAGTTGGTACCCTTAGTCTGGGCTTGGTTGCCCTTCTGTTTACCGTAGGTTTCCTTTGGCCTGGCGCCACTGAAGTGACACTCGCGAGTGACGGAGGCGGCGCGTTTGGGGGGGGGACCGCGGTACCCCTGTTTGGAGGCACGGTGCTCCATGTCAATGAGAGTCAAAGAGTTGGTTGGATGAAGGTTCCCCGTGAAGCATACGCTATTTGCAAGGAAGTGCTTTTATCTTGTTCGATGGCATGTTGTTTTGGCGTGTCCACATTGGCGCTGAACGCAGTGATTGATCATGATCCGGACAAAGCAAACACAAAAGTTTTGACCTCAGATCACAAGCTTTCAGTGGATTTGATTTGAATCCACCAGGAGCAGCCCCTACTGGGACGCGCTCTTCGCCAGCGTGGACAATCAGGAGCCCCGAGAAAACCTGATTGATAGTGGGTTTCCTCTTTGGAGCACAAACATTTGCCTTGGGCATCCCGGCATGGCATGCATTTTGAGACAGACCCATGGTAAATCTACGAAACCATGAAGTGATCAAAAAGGATCAGGGACCGCTTTGCAACCGGACGCCCGTTGCCCCAAACGGGGTCAAACCATTGGGCCATTAAATTGGGAAGCAGTGACTTCAGCTGTTGAAAAATGCGTCGTCTCGCCAAACGGCGGACGAAGCGTGAGACCGTTACACCGGCTTACACTCTTGCATTCTTCCAAGAGATGAGTTCAAAACCACCACCACGGGGGAATGGGCTTTTTGTTGAGAGTACCCTTTCTGGGGTTGGTTTGAAGGGTAAGCTCTTGGGATTTGGGGCCAAACCTCGCAGAAGTTTTTTTCCCGGGGATTGGGCTCTGGTTTTGTTTCGGGGTTGACAGAAGGCGTTTGCAAGGGAGAGCATTTGACAAAGTCTACATTTCAGAAAGGCGTAGAAAAGGCAAGCAAACGAGAGCCAGTTTGAAATCCGACTTCTGAACTCTTGTGGTGCCCACTCATTTGTGGCCGTGTGCATGCACAAGGAAGGTAGCCAGGTGCCAGTGATTCCAATATGTGCAAGTCACTATACAATTGCTTGTTCTAAGCAAGAACTTGTTTCTTAAATGGAAGTCCTGGTGCATTACATGAACTGTTTGGATCAGCACCATTGTGTCCGATGAGCACACAGAAATGTGCTTTTGTCAGTATTGGCTTTGTCAATGTCTGGCAAGGACGATGTTGCCTCAGGTAGTTAGGGACACAACTTGTCCATATATTGGCTGTATATTCTGCACACACATATATATATATATATACATGTATGTATAGTCCCGGGATCCAGCGTTCCCCCCACCCCTCCCCCCTGCTGCTCCTATACCCCCCTACCCGCACTCCAGCACCCTCGCCCAGGACAAGCCAACCTGAACCAAAACTAAGTACTCATCTGAAGCCAGGCCTGACATACATCTACAACCAAACCTAAACAGACATCCTAAATCAACACATATCAACACTAAACACTCTCATCCAACCCTGAGCCAACCCGAAACCAACCTAAACCAATCCTAAACCAACCCAACCAACCAACCCCACACCAACCCTAATGCAACCCTAAGCCCCACAACCGCACCACAGGGTATGTGTGTGTGTGGTCCTAGTCCAACCCTAGACCACACGGCGGACACGCGCACTATACATATATATATATATATATACACATGCGCACGCATGCATTTAGCAATGGCCTTACACTAGTGCCTATAGACCAGAACCTTTCTTGCATGGGGAGTTGAATCACATGTGTATGTGCTTTCTTGTATTGTATTCAGCAAGCAATGTGACATTATCTCTTTTGACAAACACAAATCGGAGTGTTTGTTGTCCGATGCCGTCAACATATTATGATTAATAAGCAGTTGCTGAATATGTTTGCATGCCATGCCATTTGGCAGATACTTGGCTGCAACTGAGCCATAATGTGACTGTCAATCTCCACAAGAGTAGATTCAGTGGACAGCACTTGACTCATTCAGCCAAGGCCAAGTGAACGTGTGAACCAACAGGGCCCGCGCGACCCACATAGTTTTTCAGGGGACTACCACCTCGTAGGACGAGTTGGAAAGCCACCGGTTCGTGGACCACATGGCTGACTGGTTGAATTCGGCCCGGCGCCCCAGAGTTCCAGGCCATTCGAAAGCCGAGACTGGAATGTAGTTTTCTGGGGGGATCCCTTGGTGTCCTTTTTGAACAGCCCAAAGCTTGCCTCAAGAAACGAGACATGCAAGAAACGCTTGCAGTACAAAGATAAGCAAAAGCACCTGCTTCTGCTGCTGCTGCTGCTGCTGCTGCTGCTTCTGCTGCTGCTGCTGCTGCTGCTGCTGCTGCTGCTGCTGCTGCTGTGACTGCTCCTGAGGGAGTCACCTTTTGGCTGGGGTTTCAAGGGAAGCCAAAGCGCAGCCATTTGTAAGGTTCCAATCTTTAAATTATTTGCTTTACGTTTTTCCGTAGTGACCTCCTTGTTTCACAACCAGAGCGTCGCTACTGGCTTAGTTCATGACGCAAGGGACCTCTCTAACTGGGTGGCGTCGGTTTCCTTACCGGTGCCACCCATCGGATTGTGGACGCGCCTTCAACTTCGGGTAGAGGTGTTTTGTCGATCGGCAACTACCCGGTTACTTAGCTCTTTGGTCTCTTGTTGCCACAAAGGTCAGGTTCACAAGTGCTCCTGCTTTTCAGGATTGCAACTGGAATTCGGTCAAAGGCATGCCTGTTTTGCCCCTGAAGCACCCTCGCGGAATCGGTCGGGAGGCTACTCTGGGCTGTTCAAAGGCAAACCGTGCTTTTTCCCTTGCATTATAAAAGGGGTACTCTGTGGACCAGGTCCACAGAGTACCCCTTTAATAGCCCAAGGCAAATGACCTGGTTTCTCCCTGGAAGGCTCTTGGGCTCCCTTGAGCTCCCACGGCCTCTCTTTGATGGCTGAACCCAAGATTCAGCAATGCAGTTTCAGAGGGCGCGGCAAGTTTCGGGAAACTCTGAACATGAAATGGGCTTAGGGGGTGCTTGGGGAATAGGGAGCCTTGAAGCGCGGGGAGTCTTAAGCTTTGGGAAGCTGGGAGCTCAGGGAGCTGTAGGGGAAGCCTAGGGAATAGTAATTGGACTAATCAGGTCAAATTGGGTACAAAAAAATCAAGCAAAGGAGATTCGTGGGCTGGCAAGGGAGATGAGGGTTGAGCCAGATTCAGGATTTGAACCCTAGGGCTTCCCAGTCCACACTCATTAACCCCCCTCTTACATCCCCCGCCCCTTAAGAACCTCATTCGCAAAGGCTCGAACTGAGCTTAAACTAAGTCAAGCAAGCCCTCGATGAAGCTTCAAAGTAAGAGTCCCCAGAAACAAAGGACAATGTTCAATCCTGACGACTGATAACCCCCGAAACAATTTAAACGTTTCCAACAAGTTGAAAGTTGTTTTCACTTGACTGGGGATTCACAATTGAATATCACAGAAAAAAGGCGTAGAGAATCTTCAATACTGACCAACCCCATACAGCGTTGAAGCTGTTTGTACAAACTTGAGTGCCTTTTTGTCCACTGGACCGAGGATTGGCGATTACAGATTCCCGAGACAACTGTTTAGAGAATCTTCACTCTTCGAACTTCAACCCTGAGTAAACAGGCTGTAAAGTTTCGATACAAGCTTCGAAGATGTCTCAGGGGCTTGAGGGCTGAGCAGGATCAAACATTATCCACAAGGTTGTTTGATGAATCTTTAATCGTCAATCTTCGGCCCAGGGATAAAGACATGTTAAAGTTTGAGTTGCACGATTCTAAAGTTGATTCGGGGAATGGAGGGCTTGCTAGGATTCAAGATGCTGGACATTATTCGATCCTGGGCAGAACAAACCTTTGTCAGCAGCAACAAACGTTAAAGTTTTCGGGGTTGGTCAGGATTGAAGACTCTCAGCAAAGGTTTCCGGGGAACCATCTTGCATCTTCGATCCAGGGCAGGCTCTGCATGTGCAGTGTTGATCTCATATTAATATTCACATGTATGCTTCCAACAAGCGCACACGGACAGCAAAGCAACAAACGAGATAGAGGAATCGAGTGGACCTGCCCAAAGTCTTCCTGCTCTTTTGTCCCTGTGGAAAGAATACATGTGGCTCTTTCTCTCTCTTCAATCGCCCAATATCGAATTCTGTACAGTTGTTATAGGACTATGGTCCGTTTTAACATTGCAATCACGTTGTTCAGATAATAGTGACTGTAAACTAAACAGAGAAACCTTTTTTGACGCTGAGGCTTGAACACGCAAGCACATTCCGTCGTTTGATTTGTAGAGTGTGTAGTTATTCAGAAAAGCGCTGTTCAGCAGAACAGTGTCAACAAAGAAGCTCACTGGTAGTTACGTTGTTTGCTGTGCAGGCACACCATGTAAGTATGTCAATGACAGCTGCAGAAACCCTGGGGGGACCACATATATATATATATATATATATGGAGCATATATAGATTTGCGCACACATATTAAAACACATATATATATATATACACCCATCAGTCTATAAACTATTCCCTGGGTTGCCCCAGGATGTGACTCCAGCAATTTAGGTTGGTCGAATCCCTGGCAAGACCCCAAGTCCTGCTTGGCCTCACACAGTGAAGTTCCCTTTTAGGTTAGGTTGCCTTTTCAAGGTGCCCAATAGAAAGAAGCCTTGTGGTTTCGGACGAGATGAGGCGAGCAACGACACCACCGGCAACGACACAAACGCCTCCAACTTCACCTACAGCAGCGGGGGTCGGCGTTTGGCCCGACGCATGGGCACTCGCACTCCAGTGGCGGAAGATGGCAGCTACTACGTGGAGCGCTTTGGCGGACCTCTAGTCCTCTACTGGGTTTGCTTCCTTTGAAGTTTTGTGGGCGGTTCTTTGACGCTACCAAACTGCCCCGTTTTCCCATGGACAGTTAGCGAAGGTCTGGCTTTTCAGCCAGACCGAAGCAGGTTGATACGGGAGGACCTTTTCGGGGGCCCAATCAACAAGACCATAAAGGGAGGCAAGGTGGTTCCTTGTCTTTTTCGCCGTCTCGCATCCCCATTTGTTTCTCCAACTACATCCTGAGAATTATCAAAGTGTCCCCTAGCCTTTTTGGACCCGCAATGTGGGATCTCCGAATGGTGAACCAATGTCACAACACGGGTGCCCTCCGTTCATTGGTTAAACCTGGTTGCTTACAATGTTGGTTCCGGGGCGACTCGTGGCATTTTGTTTATCAGGAACACGCTGGTAAATCCGAAAGTGAAGCATGGTTGACACGTCACGATGTGTTTGGCTTGTGCATGTTGGATATCCCCTGACAGTTGGCGAGACCTCGCTTTGGGGCGAATGTCTCACCCCGGCTGCTGAATGAGCGTATTTCGCTGGAGCACATTGTTGCGAGCGTGTCATGTTTGCCGCGCGAAGCCCATCCAGTGTCTAAGTGCCCTTACAACCCACTTGAACCTGAAGCAACCAAAGTTTATTCATAAGGTCGCAGAGCTTTTCCCCGGGAACAACGGGTCAGGACACCGCGGTTGTTTTTGGGGTTCCTAGAGGTAACAGTCCCATCCTCTTTCCTGGGTTAATAGGGATTTCTGGAAGAGATGCTTGAGCTCAGGTCTTTACATGTCTTTACCTTCTTGCCTCAGGCGCTCTGGATGTGTAGCTCATTCGGGGTCGCTCAAGTTGAGCGGTGAGCTTGTTGAAAGAGAGCTGGGTGAAACGCCCGTGTTGCGTGCGGCGAGAGCTCATGGTTCCTCTAAGGATTCCTGAATCCTCGGTGACTAAGTGACATCCTGGCCCCAGAAAGGGGTCCTAGGGCGGACAAAGAATGTCATGCTCGCCTTTTCCTGGAACCCTCCCCGAATTTTACGGGTCGTTTTGCGCTGAGGATCACGCAGGACGACTTGCAGCCCGCAGATCCAGAGCATCCTATGCGGAAGCTCTCCAGTGCGCTTTGGCTGGTGGACACGGGGCACCAGCGGCCGCCGAAAAATACAAATGCCCGAAAAAGAGTGGTTTCCTTTTGGCTTCCGAGAGAGCGGTCCCAATTCGGGGCACACGCGCGAGCCACCGACAGAAATGAACAAAGCAGCTATTCTTACAGACATGTCTTATATGAAAGGCTTTGCTTGGATGCCGTTCTTTGGTTTGCAGAGTCCAACACTGGTTGGCTCCCTCAATAGTGAACTGCACACACACACACACATACAGAAACATGGGCAGTTCGGCATCTAGACCTCTTTTGGCTAGTTTCTCATGCCTTAGCGTGCGCATGCGTTGGGACAGGTTTGGGCTGTTAGATTTGAAGTGATATCCAACCGCCACAACCAGCCCTGCCGACAGAGCCTGTGACAGACAGATGTGACATGATGTGACAGACAGCTGCGAAAGTGCTTGGGACAGACAGCGGCGACCTGACACACAGATGTGACAGAGAGCTGTGACAGAGCTGCGAAGGACAGCTGAAGTCGACATCATCATGCGCAAGTGGCGGAGTTGCTGGTACTTCATTCTTAAGAAACGCGCTTGTGTGCTACTAGAATCTATACTATCGGCAGCGCCTTTGTGAGCTAAACTCGTTCTTAGTTTTTTCTTAGCTGCGCTCAAGGTGGGAGGTCGGTAGCTTGGGTGGCAGACGGGTTGGCCTTTGTCTTGTAGGCGCAAGCACTTGTTTGGCGCTAGCGCCACGATTGCCCGTATCTCTGTTGCTTTGTAAATCATGAGCGTCAGAAGCAGCATTGTGCTACTGGATAGTCCAATTGTCAACGAATATGCTTGCAGTGTCCAGCTTCTTCATGGGACCCCAGAATTGACTCCAAACACAAGTTTCGCGCTTCTTTTTTTCTTTTAGCTCTTGCGGCGCGATTTCTCGCGATGAGGCCGGGCGACGCTTGGATTCCAGTGAGCCTGGCTGGAAGTACAAGGCTTGGGTGACCCCGGAGCGCATCGCTGCTCGGCAGAAGAAGAAGAAAGGAGTTCCCCCTGAGCGGAAGTTGGATCGGCACAAGCAGATCAGCGAATATCAGAGCACATCTGCACAAGCACAAGCACATCATCATCACCACCATCAGCATCGGCAATATCATCTTCAGCGTCCCCAGCATCAGAGCATCATCATCACCACGACCATCATCACCATCATCATCACCATCATCATCATCATCATCATCATCATCATCATCATCATCATCATCATCATCCTAATCTTGCTCCTCATTACATTGCTGACGGACACACGCAGGAATGGCCAGAAGGGCTGGGGCGTTGTAGAATTAGTATAACCACTTGGTTTCACTTGGCCATGGCTCAGAGGACGTTTAGATGAGAAACTTCGGAGTTATGGACGACTGAAACCAGACAACCCAAGAAGCCACAAAGTCAAAGAGCTGCAATGTTTTTCTTTGCCAAGTAAAGAGATAGCCAAGCAAGAGCAAGCCCAAGTAGAGAGATAGCAAAGCCACGACCTAGCAACGCAAAGGCATAGCCAAGCGAAGACGTAGCAAAGACATGAAAGCCATAGCAAAGCAAAGAATAGCCAATCAAAGACAGCAAAGACGTAGCAAATCAAACCACAGCAGAGCAAAAACGCACCAGAACCTGAGCAAAGGCACATCAGATCAACTCCTTGCGCACTTTGTTCGAACTTTTTTGGTGATTTTGAATCTGCCGGATCTTGAAACAGTGAGCCCCTTTGCTCACGTTCGGTTGGTTTCAATTTGCCAGCTCTTGAAGCGAACCCTGCCCACTTTCGGCTGGTCAACATCAAGGCCAAATGTTGGTGCGGAACAGATTCCGTGGCAGGCGCAGCACTTTGTGAGCCTCGAAAACGGATGACAGCGGGGGTCTGCTCAGAATCGGCCGCGTTGGCATGGCAACGCGCACCTCACAGAAGTGAACAGCACTTTCGGTGGGTCTGTTTTAAAAACTCGTAGTTTTTGTTTTGCAAGTTTCACGCTTCTCTTTGAATTTGTCATTTTCGGGTCAACCTTCAGCAATTTGTTGGTTTTGTGATTTTTAAGTTGCCGGATCTGAAAAAGCGAGCCGTCTGCGCACTTTCGGCTGGATATCTTGGATTCAATTTGCCGGCTCTTCCAAAAGTGGACCTCCTGCGCGCTTTCGGCAGCTGCAATCTTCACAAAAAATCGGCGAACCGAGGGACGGGAGATGACGGGAGAATTCGGGTGTTTTGAGCTCCACAGAGGGCTCTTGCCGCGCAGGCTTGTCATTCTAGCGTTTGGGCACCATCCTGGGCCCTGGTTTTCGGTAGCCTTATACGGTGCAGAGCGGGTGGTATGGGGGCATGGAGGCGCTTGGCACCTCGTGTTTGCCGTGCTTCAGGAGCCCCAGCTCTGAGCTCTCTGTGCGCGCCTGCCGCCTGTACGGCCTTTGAGTTCACGGCTGCTTGTGTAGAGCGCTGATGACGTGTATTGGAGGGTGCCCTGCGATGGCGTGAGGGAAGACTTGCAGGTCACTCCATCCATTCCATTCCATTCCATTCCATCCCATCCCATTCCATCCCATCCCATCCCATCCCATCCATCCATCCATTCATCCATCCATCCTATAGGAATCTTTTCACCTGCTGAAACTTCCGATTCCCTGCTCGTGCGGGCTCTGCTGGTATGGGTCTGCGGGTACCCCGTTGTGTTGTGTGTTTCTTGTGTTCAAAGAAAGCCAAAATGTCGAAAACCGAATCACTGGGGGGCTAAGAAAGACAGCCGACATGTCCGAGATGCATCTAATGATGGTTGAAACCCCAGGAGATTGAGGCGGAGGTGGGCGCGGCCACCTTGAAGTTTCTGGCCCCTTGGCTTCTTCGCGCGCGTTTGACAGCGCGCGGAAAAGTCGCGCCGAAGGTTTGTTTTCTTTGAGGCTAGGCTTTGCGTTGCCGGGGGAAACGTCAAGGAAGGCCAGGTGTGTGTGTGTGTGTGGTTATTTTGGCACATGCTCATGATTCCGTTGTGACGAAAAAGGTGGGTGTGCTGAATTTTGCAAGATATTATGAACGCCGCTGCCATGCTCAGTTTCTGATTTGCGTGGCCATTTCAGCCAGATTGATCAGTGCTTCTGCGCCGCCTCCCAAGTCTGAACGCTGCTCATGGTTGGATACGACAGATGCTCAAGACTCCAGGAAGGTGGAGTCAAAGACGTTGTTTGCATTCTCCCAATTGAGATATGCATGGACCACATCTCTTGTATGTTTTGGGGCAGAGGGTGGTGGGCGAGCTGAGACTTCCCACTATCTCAGGTCACCCCGGTTTGGCTTGGGGAATTGAGCCCTAAGCTTGTTCCTCTGGTAATTTGGGCCACCCAACCGCACAAGCGACCCAAACCGATAAAAAAGGCAAGATCAGGGTTGCTCCGAGCCTCCAATGACTGAAGCACAAGAGTGGCAAACATGTATTCTAGGTCCCCCAGTAGTGCCCTTGCTCACCCCTTTTTGGTTGGGAGGGTTCCCCTACTAAAATAGACTGCAGAAAAAAAGGTACCCTTATTCTAACCTCTTTGCTGGAGGACCTAGTATTGTTTTGTTTTTTGTCTCCTTCACTGGAGACAAAGTTTCTCTCAATCCCATGTGAAGTTGGAACAAATTCCAGCCAAAGTCGGCTTCTGAGAACGAGAGCTGGTGTAGGCGAGTCTTCGACTCCCGGGTTCAGGACCGATGTTCTAGGCCGCTCGCTTCTGAGGTCCAGTACTGCCACCTGCTGACCCCGACTCAAACCAACTGGGGCGCCTGTCAGCCTCTTGGCGAGGCAGAGAGACCAAAACCAAGCAGTTAGGGTTCACTGATACCCGTAAGACCGGTTTTTGCAACAGTGCAGATTTGTAGGGCCCAGGAAGTGTTGACACAATGGTGCGTTAAACCCGCTTCCCAGGGCGATGTTAAAGCATCTTTGAGCCGACGGGCCGTTTTAAGGTCACCAATTTGATCAGCGACTCTTTCTCCGGCCCAAAAATCGCCCCCAGAGGCCGTGGCTTCGCTCAGGACGGGGCGAGCCGGTGCCGGGGACATCGTGAAGCTTGAGAGTTACTGCAGCGGCAGACAGATCTTCTTCCCCTTCCCCAAGGCGAATCGTCGGGTTTGTCAGAGGCGAAGTTCGGTTTCTCGGAGTTCGGAAAGGACAGCTAGCTTTCAGATCTCACAACCTCCCAACAAAAATAGCAAGAAGACCTGAGTATGGCCTGCTGAATCTGAAGTTGTTGGCGTTGAGATGCTTTGGCTTTGCCGGACACTGGAAGCAATATCTTGGGGGGGGGCTTTGTACATGGGTGTTTCCCATGGGTTGGAGATTTCGAAAGGCTTGTATGCATCTATGGCACAGGGTGTGTCGTGTTCGAGGTGCTTCAAAGAATACATCAACGGGACAAGATCCTTTCTGAGCGGGTTCTCCATTTCAAGCTACACCCATGTGCGATCTTGAACCCATGCCCAGAGGTTTTTGTGGGAGGACCCTTTCCCAATGATGTCAGCCTCCGTAATACTGGCCGAACCTCCCAAGTGGGCGTTATTCCCCGTGTTCAGCACTTGTTTTGTCTTTTTTTGTTTTTCGATAAAAGAACAAACACAATTCTGGGCCTCAACCGAGTTCTGCAGTCAATATAAAGGGAAGCCAAAACCACAACTATCATTTGAGGGGGCCATCATCGATTTAGCGTTTGGCGGGGAGATGGGGACTCCGGCCGTCTTTGCGGAGAACAAAAAGGAACCAACAGTAAGACAACAAGGAAGCCAAAAAAGGAGAGAACGTAGAGCCACAAATTCGTCATGGTTGTTGTTTTTGTGTTTGGCGGGCATCCCTTTGCTCCAGCGGCGCACTGTTGCAATTTCGAGTCATTTTGGCAACAGCGATTGCAAGCGCTTGGCAAAAAACAGTGTGCATTCACAAAGGGAACCTCCTTTTGGAGCATTTTAAAAGAGGCAAAAACGAATGCAACCCATTGTGGAGGTACTCGATTTTCTTTAGAGGCCATTCATGGCATTGTCAACCGTCCCTCAAGACCTGTCCTTGTCCCCGGCTCGATTGCTTGGCAAGAAGTCAGATCACAACTGTTTGACTTGCTCGTTGGCATGTCGACATGGGCGTATTTTTGAGGGTACCCAAGTGATTCAACGGAAACCACCCACTTTGGGGTTTCCCTATTTCTCCCTATGATGCTAAAGCGAAACCATTATTCCTGAAAATATAAATCTCTCCACAACCAAAAGCAAGCTAATTCGGAGAAGACAAGTATTTTATCATTTGGGCGTCCCCTGTTTCCAGGTTGGTCAGCCTGTATCAAATTACTGATTTCAATTTGTGTGAAGTGGCGATCATGAGAAACATATCAATTATGCGCGTGCATTCTCAAGAAAACAGTAGAGCAATCAAGCAATTCAAAAACTCAAAAACTGGATTTTTTCTTTGCAGGCCAGGCACACATTTTGGCAGGAGGGGAGTCAAGAGCGAGGAAAGGAAAGGAAAGGTTTTTGTGGATTGTTTTTTTCCCTGTTGGCTGGTTTTGTGTGCGCAGATGAACTTGTTGTGTCCACATCCGCCAGGTGTCTATGGAGTTGGGTGGCCTGCTGGTCTACGACGACACGGCTGCCATGGGCATCGAAGCAGAGCCTCGGGATTTTCATCTTATTTTTTTTCCGCAGGGCGGCGGGTTTCTTTCTTTGCGGGGCGCGCCTCTGTGTCAGGGTTCCCCACGAATCGGGTGGTTTGGAGCCCGGTGGTTTGGATTTGGGTTTGAACGGGTCCCTGGTTCATGTAGACGGTAAACAGAAAACCCCTGAACACCACCAAACCAAGGGGCTCCAAGCCATCCAATTAGAAGGAGTCTGACTTTGGATGGTTTCAAAAGGAAGAAGGAAACCACCCCGTTTCGGGGGGTTCCCGTATTTTGAGACAAACACCCCCACACCTACCCCCCAAAACAAACAAGATTTTTTGGAGGGTTGTCCCCTTGCTGGGGGTTCCAATAAACTCCTTCATCCGAGGAACCGAAAACCAATTTCTTTCATTGTGGGAAGTTGTGGGGCACTCGGCTCTCGTCAGGCAGGTGGGATACCTCATTTTTTGTGGGTCTCTTTTCCTTGGGCTGGTCAGAAATCATTTGGGCTTTAGATGGTTTGGTTTGAATCGTGTATTATTCGCCCGTCGCGTTGGGATTCTTGGGAAGGAGTGATTCAGATGTGGATGTGGGGTGCTAGAAGCATCCAAATTGGGTATTGACGAGAATGATATTGAGCTATATATACTGAAAACTGAGATAGTCTGCTCTCATGCATGTTTTGGGGAAGGAGCACACTGCCTGCTCGAAGGGTATGTCTGCTTGGATTCTGTGCAGGACGCCAGTCTGGGCCCTTCGGGCCATCGATGCCAACTGTTGGCTCCCTCCAGGGAGAGATCTCACTTTGAGCCAGTTTCAACCAGCTGAACTCGGGTTTAAAAAAAAAGGGCAGATTTTTTTCTGGTGGACGGGAATCCGCCAAGCCACTTGGGACAAAAATATGCCAAGGAAAACAAGCCATGTAGAGATGTTGGAATGGGCAGAGGGGGGAAACATGTCCCATAGCACCTGACAGGGGCCCTGGGCATCCTCAAGGTGGAGGGGAGGCTACCATCTTGGGTGCCCCTATCGGTGCTTTGCAGATTAGGTTCGCCTGTCCCTTAGCAGTTTCTCGCGGCAACGAAATGCAGATGGTCATCGCAACTCATAAAAGTAGACCTTGAGTTTCCCAAAACTACGTTCAGGTCCTTCCTTTGTCCCTGGTTTGTTCGGTTTTTGCATCACGCAGACCTTCAGTTGCGCGCAAGTTTCTTTTTGCTTTTGTTTGAGGGGGTTCGTTTCTTAAAGGATCTCCAAACAAACGGCTCCATTGGCCACGGATGGCCGCTGGAGTATTTGACATTCGACCGAGGCCGCCGACATGTTCATGGCGCCTTTGGAGGGCCGAGACCGCGTGCTGGGACTGGATGGCAGCACCTACAGGTGGTATGACCGCTGCAATGACCCGGGCTGCGCTCCTCGGATTTAGAATCCGAATTCGATGTGGCGAGTCCACGGAAAGGGACGGCGGCAAAACGAACGCCCAGAATGTAGATCTTTTACTTGGAGATGTCTTGTTTCAGGGTGGAAAAATAGTACATGTGGGTGTGTCTCAAATAGGGGCACCCTTCTTCCATGGGTCTGCAAGCCAAGGCAAACGGAAATCCGCCTAGAGGGTCCCTAATTTTGAGAAACACCCATGCCCCCTGGTGTAAATCCGAAGATTGGTGAACTAAGCCTTTGGCTTCATGGGAAACATCTTTGCACATGACAGAAATCCCCAAGTGTTTCTGTCGGGTTTGAACAATTGGTGGCTGGAGGGAACCCAGGAAGAGTTGTTGTGGAGAACTAAGTGGCAGTGGGGCAAAGCCCGCAGTTCAAAAGTTGGACCCCTCCAAATGGCTGGGCGTCAACATGTTGACTTCCTTGAAAAACAGTCCACGGTTTTGACACAGGGCCTCGGGAAATAGTCGGATGAGTACCAAAGTGTTTGCCATACAACAAGGCCATGTGAGTGAGAATCCGTATGATCACGCGGCTGTGAGACCGATTTCGCCTCATTTTGTTGCTGTTTCCTTTGACGAACAGGCACACCCATGTCTCCACTACAGAGGCGCTACAGAGATTCCCCGATGGCGCCAGCCGACGCAAGCCAAGAGAAGACATGCGGGTCGCACCCGGAAGCGAGGTAATCCCCAGAGAGTCGAAGTATGTTGTTTGCGTCTACGGTAGTTTTCTTTTGTGGGAAATGGATTCTGCTGCGGTACATGCTTGCATGGCAAAGATGGTTCATGTTGTTTCCGACCATGTGCAGCTTCACTGCTGACTTCTATGTTTGGGGGAACAACGGGACGTTTCCAGCAGGGGGATGCCCAAACATCGGCAGGATGAAGGTCTGGTTAGAGTTGGGTGATCCATTTCGGAGAGGCCCAAGCCGATTAAGGTACGACTTAACGCTAAACGCAAATGAGCTCGGCAGGCGTACGCGAAACACAACGGAAGCCGGTTATACGCATTTCCGCACGCGCCTCCGAGGTTCCGGGCTCGGGCAAGGAGAAGTGGCAGCTGATCTCTGCTGATGGGGGCATTGGAGTGTTGGGCACTGACACGCGGTTCTTTATCCGAAGCAGCTCAGGCGGGCGGAGCGGGCAGGTTTTTGCAGCGCGCGGGAAGGGGTTGCGCGTGGTTTTCTTTGGCTTTGCTTTGGTTTTGAGGGTGAAAAGAGTTGGCCTCAACGGAGACCAACAAGAAAGCCACAATTTTGGGGGTCCGCTATTTGGAGACACATCCAAACAGTGCTGAATCTCGACTTCAAGAACGCCCCAAGTGGTGATTTCTCCCGATTTCTCCCCACCAAGCGGCTGGCCTTGGGCTGTTCCGACTCACCGTCCGCGCTTGGTGAATGTTTGCCTCGGATTCTGACCTACGGTTTTTTGCTTGCTGGGGAGGGGAGTGTGTCAGACGCGCCTTTTGTTGGCATATTCACCCTCGCAAAGGCCATCAGATACCAAGCAAACGGTACCCCAAAAGGAACCCCGAGAAGCCGAAGAAAGAAGCACAGCTGGCCATCCAAAAAAGGCAGGGATCGAGTGCGTATCTGCCGCCCGCAACATCCAGGCCGCAACATCCAGGACAACCGCGGCAACGTGCGGAGCACCACTAACACCGGGGGCTGGGAGAAGTTCCGCGCGAGGGCCTCGGCTTTCGGAGTTTCGGTTTTGCGGGAATGGGTGGGCGGCACCTCCAGGTGGGCAGCCCACCCCTCCTTTTGAGAAGGCATATCAATCCAGTGGCACTGTCGCAGTCTTTTGCCCGGGGTGTTCGGTTGCGTTTGTGCTCGAGTTTGCTCAAAAGAAAGTTGGATGGCGGCTCTCAAAGGTGTCCATTTCTTTTAATTTGCTTAGACATAAATGGGTTCCACGAGATGAGTTTTATTGCATTTACCAGAGACCATCTATTTTCCTCAAGGTCATGGCAACTCCGGTTTTCTCTCCACGTGCCTTTTGTTTTTTTGGTTCTCACCCGATCGGGGTCCTGGCAATCTTAACGCGGCTCTCAGGTCTTGGACGCGGGGGGCGGCAAGGTGTACCTCAGGAGCCACCGGGGCGCCTACCTGGCCATCTCCGAGGACAAGAGCGGCTGGAACAGACCCTCGGACGCGAAAGGAATCAATTGACTCAGTTGTTCAGTGGCACCCGTTTTCCCTTGTTTTGGTGGCTGCCCCACTAAAAATGGTCTTCCCCAAAAAGGGTTCCCTTTTTTCGCCAACAGCTCACCTTTCCCAAATGGCACCGCGGCCAGCTTGTTGTTTGTTTGTTTGCTGCCAGTGTTCTCCTTTTGATGTTTTCGTGGGTGAGGCTTCCGAGACCACAGCCAAACATGTCAGATCGGTTTGGAGATTCGGAAAGGATCCGTTCTTCCCTGGCTAAGCAAGGAACATAGGCTGAATTGGACTAATGTGGTGCACCAACAAAACAGCCATTTGCTGGACATATCTGAAAACAAGGAAAAGACACCCAGGTGTAGCTCTCTGAACAGGCCAAATGAACAGAGAAGTCGCAATGGCATTCAGGCAGTTTGACTTATCCTGTTGGTTTCCCTTTCGAGTTCCCCCAGATTGGGACCAGCATGTGCCGAAGCGACATAAAGGAACCGAATTTTGCAGGCTTTCTGTCCCAATAAGGGGCCAAGTTGGGCCAAGGATATGCTGCAAGTCAAAAGCAAGCTTTGTTTCGGTTTGGTTGCCGCTCGTGAACGAGCAAGCGGCTTGGTTTTGACTTCTTCCAGACAAGAAATATCATGACTAGTTAACCTGGCAGAGTAGTTTATAGGGTGCAACTCCCCCTATATAAAGGTAGCCAACGCTTTCCCCACAAAGGGTAGCATCAGCGAAAGCTCCGCGCAAGTTGGGGATGTGTCAAGTCTGGAGACTTTTCTATTTGTTCTTTACTTGCCAAGGGTGTTCACACCGCAAAAAAACTCTAGCCTTCTAGCAAAACACATTCAGCAGTTTCAACGAGACACGCCTTTTACTCGGGTCCGAGTTTGATACTGCTCAATCAGGAGCCATGTTGTTGTGTCTGAAACTATGTCGTGACGATGCGAGTTGTCCCTGGGTCATGGATCTGCCACAACGCTGAATACCATCTTGTGGTGGCTGTCGAGGGAGTTTCGATGGCGACTCATGAGTGCGGAGTTTGCTTTTTTCAGGGGTCTCTTCTTCTAGGTTGGCTAAATAGACGTTCTTATTCACCGAACAAATTCGTGTGCAAGGCTCCCGCTTCAAGCGCCCGAACGGCCGGACCGATCAATCCGGAAGAGGACACCTCGGTTCAATTTGGGCCACACCCAGGAGTTCACCCCTGGCTCCCAGCGCCAAAGGCCCGCGTGAAAAGCAAGTTTGTTTGAAGGCGTCCTGCTCCGCTTAAAGCCCGGGCCGCGCAGGTTACGCGCAGGCCGCGCGCAAGTCGCGGAAGGAACTGTTTGAAGACAAATCCAGCACATGTCATGAAAGCTTGTCGCCAAGGGGCAAGCGAAAGCAAGCGCGCAACTCCATGGTACTCGCGCAAGCTCCAGAAGGTACCGGCGATTGCCTCAACCAGAAGGGTAGACACCTGGCTGTTTGTAGGGGTCCCCATTCTTTTCAACCATCGTTATTCTCTTGGATTTTGATGGTTTCCTGAAAAGAAGGATCCCTGGAAAGAATGGGGCAGGTATCCCTAGAGCTGTATTTGCATTTGTCTTTTCCCATCCAATGTTCTACCCTGCGCAACACATTTTGAGCAGTGGTAGACCAATCACGCCAGGATTAAACTTACAGGGTGTTCTTATTCCCCGCGTTTGCTTCGGGCTGAGGCCTTGAGTGCAAGGTGCGGGAATCGGCCGAGTTGGGGAAAACAGCACCATGTCCCATGCCAAATTCGTCTCAAAGGAATCCAAAGGACCATGGGAATACGACAGACGTAGAAGCGGCACATGGGGAACGTCTGGCTTTGCTTCAAAATAGGACAACTCCAAAAAATGTGCTCTTCCGTTTGGTAAAGGAGACCAACCACCCGCCCGTGTAGATGTCCTCTCAACATGGCGATCAGACATAGTTTATCTCCGAAGTTAGTTTGTAGACAGATCCTGCTTTGCTTACCCGACCATCCAAGAGAGCGGCCTGTATTGCCGAGTATTCTGCATGACTCAATGAGGGAAGCAGCTTAAATGGGTGGAAAGTACCTCATTCGATAGATGCATTTCACCATTCCGAGCACCAATCTACCCTCGCTCTGTGCAAGGATGTAATATCAATGTTGAGTTAATATTGAGTCAATGTTGAAATATGTGTGTTGTGTTCAAAGCACGGGTAAACATATACATGTGTATATATATATATATATATTATATGTATATATTATGTATATATGTATAATATATAATATATGTATGTATGTATGTATGTATGTATGTATGTATGTATGTATGTATGTATGTATGTATGTATGTATGTATGTATGTATGTATGTATGTATGTATGTATGTATGTATGTATGTATGTATGTATGTATGTATGTATGTATGTATGTATGTATGTATGTATGTATGTATGTATGTATGTATGTATGTATGTATGTATGTATGTATGTATGTATGTATGTATGTATGTATGTATGTATGTATGTATGTATGTATGTATGTATGTATGTATGTATGTATGTATGTATGTATGTATGTATGTATGTATGTATGTATGTATGTATGTATGTATGTATGTATGTATGTATGTATGTATGTATGTATGTAATGTATGTATGTATGTATGTATGTATGTATGTATGTATGTATGTATGTATGTATGTATGTATGTATGTATGTATGTATATATATATATATGCGTTGGTGACAGTTTACTGTCATATGTGCCTTCTCGTTCGATTTTGCCGATCCTGCTCGACTAAATCATGGGATCTCTTGTGAACGAGCAACGATTTGAATGGGGCGGAGGTGTATGCATGCATGTTTACCAGTGTGAATCATTTGGAATTGAACACCCTCGGCGCTTATCAAAGCCATGGGTCGGGATTGATTGTTTTGGATGGAGTGGAATGACTCAGATCCGGATGTGGATGCCGAATTCGATTGCCGCTAGCTAGCAAAGCATTCAGCGACGCCGGGCGGTTCTCAATAACCAGGCAGTTGGTTCTGTTGCTGCGCGGGCCCACAGTTGTTCCTGATGATAAATGAGAACCAAACAACGCTCGCTCTTCTTTGCAACGAGCACACGCAACGGCATGAAGTGTCAAAGGTTGGTTTTTTTTTTTTTGATATCCCCCTGTTCATTTCCCCCATGACATGGGTTGTTCCAACCCCACCCCCCTTCCAGATCACAGTGAGGAACACACCCCAAGTTCCGCGTTGATCGATGCGGGGTCAGCATGACCTTCCGATTTTGGCGTAACTATTCAGGAGGATAATTTGACAGCCTTTCCCCGGGAGAACCTCACCTGGAGATTCCCTCCGGCCTGAGCCATCGTTTGGTTTCCGGGGACTCCGTCAGGTGACCCTGTACCGGGATCGCCGCTCGGAAGCAACCGCGGGGCCTCAATGGCATCCATCATCCTGAGGTTCACTGTGGACCAGAATCTAAGAATCATATGTTTGGATGGTTGAACCCGGCGACAGTACCTCAGGTTCATCTTAGATTCATCTTTCGCAGGTCTGCAAGCTTCAAGGGTTGAATAGTCAGCAGGATGCAAATCGGTTGTTTCAACCCTTTCCATGTGTCCATGTTCACTTGTCCACGTTTATAGTTTCCAGCATATTGTTTAAACAAAGTGGCAGGGCTTGCGCCGATGCTATTTGTTGTATTGCGAGGTGGACTGGCCTGGTATCTCGTAGGGTCACCCGAAAGGAGTGGGGCGAAGCCAGACCCCTCGCCCCAGGCTTTGTAGAACCTATAGAGCTGTCCGCGAACGGTGTGATGCACAGGGTTCTCGTAGCCCACTTTGGTCTTGGAACGCCTGCCTTCGTTTAGTTTCGCAAGGTCTCGACATCCAAAATTGAGCGTGGCTTCTGTTTCCAGTGCCCCTTCTGCGCCTTTCATGCTTACCTCTTTGGTTCCGTTGCTCATTGCCTATGGTTGGCTGGTAGTGGAAGTGGGCTTCGGTCGATGAAGCTTTGAGTTAACGCAGCTTGTTTGTCACAAAGGCATCGTGGAAGCTCGGAACAAGTCAAACATGTGCCGCGCTCGCGTTTCTTGAATGTGTTTCTCGCCTTGGCCATCGGCCAGCCTGTTGACCCCTATCTCTCAAGTGAACGGCACACGGTTGGAGCGCCCAGCTCTCAGTTACAGCTGAAAGCCGAGCCTTTCCCCTTCTATCAGCCTGCTTCCGGCTGCTTTCTCAAGTTTGCGGGCACCCAGGCTGAGCCAACCCCCTCAACCCGGCTCCCTCCCTCAGGCTGTTTGGCGTTCTTTTCTTTGCCATATCAACTTGCTAGCTCTCAAGGGGGTTCAAATTCTGAATGAATGCGATCAAGGAAGCCTCTGAGTTGGTTCTGGGCTGGTTTCTTACGGACCCTTCAGAGTCCCCCCCCCTTTCAGCCAGGCAACTCGCAAGCCACAGGCAACCTGCGATCCCAAGATCGGGATCCCGAGCTGAGGCAACTGCAGGGGCGGCACCAAGGTCGTAAGGAGCACCTCTGTGACGGGCTACCAACAAAACAACTGGGGTCGCCGACGCTGGGGCACCTCTGCACCTCGGAGCGGTTTATGAAATCAGATCCAGGACAGGCGTCTTGAGAATCGTGGCTCCCTTTATTGTAGTTGGTGCCATGTTTGCTGGCTCAAGGGAAAGGACTGTTACATGTTGTTGTTTTTTGGGGGAATTCTTAATTTTAAAGATTGCGCCGGATTGCTCCGTTTTGGAGTAGCTGGGAACAGGTAACTCTGTCGAGCGCCTGAAGCTCAACAGTCTCTCAAGGTCCATTTTGTGTTCGACCTTCCAAAGAGGCAGCAAATCCAAAGAATCATTGGGACTCACCGGCAAACTGATCAAATTCTTGTGTGGTTGGTGCTGATTTACTCCTTGGCCCCTTTCCGGCCGCCTCTTGTTACACAACCCTGACATCAGTTTTCCCTCAGTAAATGTTGGCTCCAAATAAACTGCTTTGAAAGGGGAAGCTTCTTTTTGCACGTTTTCCCAAGGCTGGCGAATGGTTTCTTGTGGTGTTCATTTCTGCGCATGGATATCTTCCCTTGCTGGGTCTTTGGAGCAAGACGTGGCAAACTTTGGTTGAACCAGCATAAATTAGCGTGGCGATTTTGCATGCATGAAGCTGCAGATGGCACATTCTGTCAGAGCGCGCGATCTTGCCAAATCTTTTGAACTGTTGGACTGGTGTCGTTTGTTTTGAATTGTTTTTTTGGTCGGTGGAACCTTTGCCTGTTGCAGGCCGAAGAGGTGCCAATCGGGCAGGTGCCCTTCGCCCGATGGCTTCTTCATTCCCAAAGTGGCGAAACGCCTTCCGTTGAGCAACGCAGGACCAAACAACAGTGAAAGGCCTGCTTGACTCTGCTTGACAGCACAGACTCTCGTTTGGAGCAAGTTTCTGGTCTTCTTCCCGTGCTTTAATTATCCAGTTGCACAGCTTGCCAGTGTTTGAGGGCAAGACTAAGACTTATCCTTGGCGTACAATGGCCCGGTCTTGGCCTTCTTTGATGCGTAACAAGGCCACTTCAACAAAACAAAAGCAATGAAGTAGCCGCGCAGATCAGAGAGCCTTTTCAATAGCTGAATGGCTAGTCAGCATACCGAGGGGAAGCCACTTGCCATTTGAATGTCCCATATGTTGTCACATGTGTTTGGGACGTGGCGTGACTCTGCCGTTTGCGGTTTGCGTTCCTTGGAGCACACGCGCACGTGTGCTCGGCCCAGGGCGATGAGTGGAGGTCCGCGAAGGGCGAGGGACACTGCAACTCAGAGACTTGGCCGAAGGTTGTCAGGGCTTTGGGAGGGGTGGGTTCGAGTGAGGCTTGAGGGGAGTGGAATGTTGGGTTTGGGCGGTTGGGAGGAGTTTGGGAGGGTCTGGGCATGGGTTGTGTGGGCGCGTGCATGCAGGCGGGCGGGCGGGCGGGCGGGCGGGCGGCGCGGGTGCAGGAGGGGGCGGGAGCGGGGGCGCGGGGGTGAGTGTGTTTGTCTGTGTGTCTGTGTGTCTGTGTTTGCGTGTGTCTGTGTGTATACGCGTGTGAGAGGGTGGGTTTGTGTGTGTGTGTGCGTGGTGTGTGTGTGTGTGTGGGTGCGTGCGTTCGTGCGTGCGCGTGCGTGCGCGTGCGCGCGTGCGCGTGCGCGTGCGCGTGCGCGTGCGCGTGTGCGTGTGCGTGTGCGTGTGCGTGTGCGTGTGCGTGTGCGTGTGCGTGTGCGTGTGCGTGTGCGTGTGCGTGTGCGTGTGCGTGTGCGTGTGTGTGTGTGTGTGTGTGTGTGTGTGTGTGTGTGTGTGTGTGTGTGTGTGTGTGTGTGTGTGTGTGTGTGTGCTTGTGTGTGCTGTGTGTGTGCGTGCGTGCGTGCGTGCGTGCGTGCGTGCGTGCGTGCGTGCGTGCGTGCGTGCGTGCGTGCGTGCGTGCGTGCGTGCGTGCGTGGGTGTGTGTGTGTGTGTGTGTGTGTGTGTGTGTGTGTGTGTGTGTGTGTGTGTGCTTGTGTGTGCTTGTGTGTGTGCGTGTGTGCTTGTGTGTGTGTGCGTGTGTGCTTATGTGCTTGTGTGCTTGTGTGTGTGTGCTTGTGTGTGCTTGTGTGTGTGCTTGTGCGTTCTTGTGTGTGCTTGTGTGTGCTTGTGTGTGCTTGTGTGTGTGTGCTTGTGTGTGCTTGTGTGTGCTTCTGTGTGCTTCTGTGTGCTTCTGTGTGCCTTTGTGTGCTTGTGTGTGTTTGTGTGTGTGTGCTTTTGATGGTCCCTTTTCAGGCTGGAAAAAAAGGAAGCCACAGGACAATCAACATTTTGTGAGGGTCACGAACCCAAATGATCGGTATTTGGGAGGATAAATTTTGGTTTAGTTAGGACCAACCCACCTTTGACACCAGGTCGAGTTCTACGATGAGGATGAGGATGAGAGTGGCTACGAGGACAACGAGTGGCAAACCGGGAACTTTGGCTGCTTCAACTTCCCCGCTGCTCGCCCGCGATTCGACAACTAAGCAATCAATACCCGAGACATGCCCCGAGTCCATGTGTGCCTGCCATGCTGGCAAGACCCCTGTACTTGGATGTACTTGGTAGGCATGATCATCAGCTTAGGGCTGTGGTTTTTCCAGTGCGACGACCAAAGAATGCATGACCATGGCTTAGGGGAATACCATAATGATGTTGGATGTAAATCGGTGTAACTGACGTTCACAAAAGTGTACCTAGGGTCTGTGTGCAGCCGTGTGCTGCAAATGTCCAATCTGGTTACATGTTGTGTTTGGGGCGGGAGGTTTTGCTACTGAAGTTGCAACACAGCTGGCAAGATTGGGTAGGTATCCATTTTCGATCCAAAATCCCAACCATTTCAGGGAGCGGTGCGATTCACGCAGCATGTTGGGTAGGCCCGGACTTGAGGGTGGGTTGGGGGGATGGTTACCTTTGGATTGCGCTGACTTCTGGCAGGCGTATGCGGGGGTAGTTCTGTTCGGACATCTCTGACTTCTGTCAAAGCACTGCATGACACAGTCACACGTATCACTGGCCAGAAACGCGAGCGAGTGTGGATGTGGTCTGCAGCATGTGTCGTGTAGTGACAGCCTGGGCAGAGCTTGCCCAGGGCCAGAAGAAGTGTTTCCATCAGAGGTTCTGGAAGTAGACGGAGTGCGCGCAGCAGCTCGCAGACGCCAACATGACAAGCGCCCGCATAGCGCGCGAGCAAGAAAGTATGCGAAGCTGAAGTTTGTAGCTTAAAGGTCCGCTCTCAAACAGCCCGCAGCAGCTCAAGTGCCTGGAGGGCGCTGACTTTGTGTGCGCGCTGCTGAAAAAGTAGCTCAGGCGCAGCCAGCTCTTGTCAGAAGGTCGAACCCATCATGCGCATGTTCATAGGTTTTCTGCAGCGCTTGTGCTCGGGAATATGCTGCGCCCACAGGGATTTTGCCCAACACAACATAGATGACGCAGACCTCCCTTGGCTTCTCGCAGCTCCCGAAGAGCAGCAATCTACAGCCAAGAAGTGCCACCCCTGCCAACGCTGCCTACCCGAGTTCCTAAACACAAGTACGCAGGTTTGACAGCCCCTGGAAGACGCCAGTTGGCCACGAACCCCATAAACACCGTTATTTGTGGTTCTTTTGCATACTCCGGACTTCGCGTCCTTTGAACTTGCGCCTCAGTGCTGGCTATATAACACGCCCCCCGTCAACCCTTTGTTCATCTCTTGTTAACAAACGGTCACGAAGATGACGCAGCGTGCAACTTCGGACATGTTTCAACATGAACCTTGGCGTCGTTGGTGCAGCACCAACCTTTCATTTAGCATTCTGTGTGGCGATTGATCACCGAGCTCATCTAAACTCTGAACGCAGCAAGGTTGGCCATGCTTTGAACGGGCGGTCGGTTGCCAAGATTCATCGTACCGCAAAGAAGGATGTTTGGCCCGCAGCTTTCCATTCAGACTCCTGGATCTCCGAAAGTTTGGTGAGAATAGTGTTGGCTGATATCCCTTTGGCACCTCTGGACACACCCCTTTAAGAACCCGCTGTTTTTCTTTTCATCTCGAACTTTCCAATTTGCACAACAAACTCAGGCTCGAGACCCAGTGCAAACGCATGGCAACCTTTGGGTTCATTCTTTTCTCGATGTTTCAATCTAGGGCGACCTGGACGAGGATGTGCCACTCGCCTTGCAACCGGGGAGTTTTCAGCTTAAGTGCATGTTGGCGTGTTGCTCAATTCGCAGGTGCGCCAGTGACCCGTCCGGTCAAAAAGCAATGGCCGACGGTACTTTACCTCTTGTTTGGTTACTTCAAAACTTAGAAGGAATTGCCAGAGGAGTCCAAGTCCTAGTGTTCTTACCCATTTCCCCAAAAACCCACGATGAAACGTGAGTACTTCTAGCCTTATGAGCCCTCCGTTTTGAAGCGCCAAGCGTGGACGACTTCCATGTTCCGACCTTCATCTGTTTAACGTGGATCTACAAAGAAGGTATTTGGGTGTGGCTCAAAATTCAACAGCTAGGGTTGCGCAAGTTCGGGTCTTGAGTTGCATTTGCCAGGGTGCCATTTTGGGTACGATTTTTTGAGCCGCAGCCATCTGCTCTCTCTTTGTGAATGGCCCAAGCCGCAGAGAACCTGAGTGGTTTCCCAAACCGGTTTGAAAACGAATGGGGGGATCGTCTGACAGTTTTCCATGGCAAGCTTCAAGCTCGCCACAGTTTTTGGTGGTTTCAAAGGACCTTTGAGTGTTTCCTCATAACATCGCGTCTGCCATGCTTACCCCGAGTTTCTGTTTC